AAGGGCCTGGGGGGTTGGAAGTCTATTTTCTTGATGTGCCGAGAGTCAGAGGATCTCAACTGTGTGGGCAGAGAGGCACCCGAGGCGATGACGAATGCCAGTAACTTGGCCATCATAGCAAAACGGGTTTCGAGATTTAACTAGAAGGGGTGACCACAGCGTGTGATTACATTATTAGGGGCGACAACTCAACGTGGTGACATATTACTAAAGGCTGAAACGGAATGTTGTGACAAATACAGGGGGGGGGGGGGTGGGGGCAAATGACTGGAGTGTGACCTATTACTAGAAGCGGCAAATGAAAGATATGTAGAACATTCAGTTTTTTGTCTTCATGTTATAATAGACAAACCAGGTTTAAACATTTTTATATTTTACTAAAGAGAGTGAGAGAAAGAGACAGAGAAAGCAATTTATTATATTTTTTTTTAAAGTAAGATGCTAAAAAAGAGTGGGGGGTGGGGGGGCGGGGGGCCATAGAAAGTCTTAGCCATTACCGTGAGAACCGCTGTGACGGTAATGTTCACGGTGGAGCTTTTTTATATTTTACTAAAGAGAGTGAGAGAAAGAGACAGAGAAAGCAATTTATTATATTTTTTTTTAAAGTAAGATGCTAAAAAAGAGTGGGGGGTGGGGGGGCGGGGGGTCATAGAAAGTCTTAGCCATTACCGTGAGAACCGCTGTGACGGTAATGTTCACGGTGGAGCACACCGTCTCTGGAAGATGAATGACACGTCCCCGTCAGCAAGCAACGTGGCCAGCATAGCAACAGACACTAGACATAAAATATATGGACAACGTGTTGGTGGATTGGGCGGGGGGGGGGCAGTGACGTAGGTAGGGGTTCTCGGGGGGTGGGGGGGGTCCTTACTATCCATTGGGAGAACCAAAAAAAAAAATGGAGAGGACGGAAAGAATAAAAATAAAGTAAAGGAAAAGATGGTGGATTCTGTTATCACTTGTATATACGACAACCTATTCCGGGGAAAAATGTTCTCAAATTATAGCTTAACTAATTTAGCGACAGCAGTTTCGTTAATATTACATACATGTACAAACTACAATGTCATTAGGTCCAAATTTACCATTTCGCAATGCAAGTACGTGCAGAAGGAATCAAGTAAAAATGGCTCACTCCGAGAGAATGCACATAGCAGAAATATAGTCTTGAACACTTAATTCTATAGATAGCTCTATATTTTCGTAGCCATAGAATTTGGGGAAAGTAGTCCAACCTAAACCAAGAGATGTGCCGGGTCTTGTTACCTTCTCATTATCATCATCTGGAAGTGAATATGGTTTTGAGGGTAGAGCTGATTAATGCTTACCCAAAGGAAAAACGTTTCCATTAGCATCACGTCTGTTGCTTACCGATGACGTGTTGGACGACAGAAAACTAAGTTTGGTTATGTGCCAAAATGAATCTCTGAGTTTTGAATTTATCAAAATCTCACTTTTTTCTTGGGAGAGACTCAGTGAGCCCGATTCCCGATCAATCAATTCTTGATTTCTGCTGCCCCTCCCCCTTTCCTCTACCCCCCACACCCCGATAACCTTGACAGTCCCCGGCTCCAGGGTCTCCAACCGTCTGTACATTTAAGGAATGTCCGTAAACATTTACCAATGATGACTTGTCCGCAAAAGTCCATAACAGCTTTAGGTAGGATGTCCGTAAACATTTACCAATGGTGACTTGTCTGCAAAAGTCCATAACAGCCTTAGGTAGGATGTCCGTAAACATTTACCAATGATGACTTGTCCGCAAAAGTCCATAACAGCCTTAGGTAGGATGTCCGTAAACATTTACCAATGATGACTTGTCCGCAAAAGTCCATAACAGCCTTAGGTAGGATGTCCGTAAACATTTACCAATGATGACTTGTCCGCAAAAGTCCATAACAGCCTTAGGTAGGATGTCCGTAAACATTTACCAATGATGACTTGTCCGCAAAAGTCCATAACAGCCTTAGGTAGGATGTCCGTAAACATTTACCAATGATGACTTGTCCGCAAAAGTCCATAACAGCTTTAGGTAGGATGTCCGTCAAAAAATGAGACAGCCGTGCCTGCATCCCCTGGATATGTAAGAGACCCCAAGTTGTAATGTTGAAGAAAAATTTTTTTTTAACTATCAACTTTGAATGCATGGGGCACAAAAACCCAAAAGTGGCAAGTGGTCTCCTTAATGCATGTGACTTTTTGACGGCTCTGACAATGGTTCCCAAAGAATTTTTTTCACTCATCAATGTTCAACAAAATAAATGTTTTAAATTTTAATTTTGGAATAATGATAGTCAGCAAATGAGCCGTTTCTGGAATGTTTTAATATTTTCATGGTCACAACATACATCTACTGCAGGTAGAAAACTAAGTAGAAAAACGTGTTGACAAAATCAACTGTTTCAAGACATGACATCCCACAATGTACAATGCAAGGTTGGTAACAATGGCAATCTATAAATTAGACATTTCCACGTTACTCATCCAGTAGGTCATGGGAGAAATTTTGATATTTAAATAAATAAAATTGAGATCAAATGAACAGGTTCTACCTCATTGAGATCAAATGAACAGGTTCTACCTCATTGAGATCAAATGAACAGGTTCTACCTATTGAGATCAAATGAACAGGTTCTACCTCATTGAGATCAAATGAACAGGTTCTACCTCATTGAGATCAAATGAACAGGTTCTACCTCATTGAGATCAAATGAACAGGTTCTACCTCATTGAGATCAAATGAACAGGTTCTACCTATTGAGATCAAATGAACAGGTTCTACCTATTGAGATCAAATGAACAGGTTCTACCTATTGAGATCAAATGAACAGGTTCTACCTCATTGAGATCAAATGAACAGGTTCTACCTATTGAGATCAAATGAACAGGTTCTACCTATTGAGATCAAATGAACAGGTTCTACCTATTGAGATCAAATGAACAGGTTCTACCTCATTGAGATCAAATGAACAGGTTCTACCTATTTAGATCAAATGAACAGGTTCTACCTATTGAGATCAAATGAACAGGTTCTACCTCATTGAGATCAAATGAACAGGTTCTACCTATTGAGATCAAATGAACAGGTTCTACCTATTGAGATCAAATGAACAGGTTCTACCTCATTGAAGTAAACAAAGTGTGTCACAGGTGTTTTATCACGCTCTAGATGTAGCCACGATGTCAAGGTAAGCTTCATAAGATGAAATCAATAAGTCATGTTGTGTGATGAAATCAATAAGTCATGTTGTGTAATGAAATCAATAAGTCATGTTGTGTACTAAAATCAATAAGTCATGTTGTGTACTAAAATCAATAAGTCATGTTGTGTACTGAAATCAATAAGTAATGCTGTGTAATGAAATCAATAAGTCATGTTGTGTAATGAAATCAATAAGTCATGTTGTGTAATGAAATAAATAAGTCATGTTGTGTGTAACGACATCCATAAGTCATGTTGCGTCTCAAGTCCTCAATAAAAATGAGCAACATTATTTCCACATCTGATAAAAAACAGACATTGCACTATTTTTACTATTTCATATTTACGAGCAATGTGAATCCCCCAAATAAAGATTTTCAAAGGTTTCTTCTTTGCTAACAAGTACACAATATGTTAGGCATTTAATCATTCAGAAATTAAAACATTAAAATTTTTGAACTTTTGCAGCTTTACATTAAGATTAAAGAAACACTTTATATGAACACATTACAGCATAAAGCAATACAATATTTTATAGTCAAGACGTGCTGTAGTAAATCTTTTTATGGTAAACATAGCACAGAAAAGCTTTTCATAGTAAACATAGCACAATAGAGCTTTTTATAGTGAACATAGCACAGTAGAGCTTTTTATATTAAGCATAGCCCAGTAGAGCTTTTCGTAGTAAACATGGCCATGGCATAGTAGATCTTTTCATAGTAAACATAGCACAGTACCGTATTTTTACATACCCCGCACCCAGGGTGCGTCTTATATATGGGTGAGTCTCATGTAACATATTTTTACACACATCGTTAAAACCCACACATTTTATATACAAGTGTATCTTATATACGAGTGTATCTTATTTACTGGTGATTCTAATATGCGTGAAAATAGGGTAAATCTTTTCATAGTAAACATAGCATAGTAGATCTTTTCATAGTAAACATAGCAAAGTAGATCTTTTCAGTTCACATGATTAGTGTAGATCTTCTCATATTAAAAATAGCGCAGTAGAGCTTTTCATAGTCCACATAGCGTAGTAGATCTTTTCATAGTAAACATAGCGTAGTAGATCTTTTCATAGTCCACATAGCGTAGTAGATCTTTTCATAGTAAACATAGCACAGTAGAGCTTCTTCTCTTCTATATCTTAAGGGCCCACGATCAATTTATTGATCATTTTGGCTCCTATGCATGTAGATGGGATTTGCAATGTTTCTGTTACTGGTGGTGATGAGGAAATTATGCACTAGGGGTTTGAAGGCTTGAGGCAATAGACACAAATGTGTCTAGTGTTGTCGCCTCAACTGTTCCTTTTGAAAGATGGTTCCAGTCCCTGATTGTCTTGGGCAGGAATGAGCAGCTCCTATACTGGCTTCTTGCTGGTATGAGCCTGAATTGCCTGTCATGGCCTCGTCGCTGTCTATGGGGGAGAGGGACGAGTTTCTGTTTAATACTGGAACAGTGGACCAGCCCATTATTTATCTTGTACATCATGGAGAGCCTGGATTGTCGTCGTCGTTTCTCCAATGATGACCAGCCTAGTGTTTCTAGCATGCTGCCAACACTAGAGGTATTCCTGTAGCGGTTTAGGACAAAGCGAGCTGCTCGTCGCTGGACCGCCTCCAACCTGTCAATGCTCTTCTGGGTAAATGGGTCCCAGACTGAAGATGCATAATCTAAAATCGGACGGATAAAGGCTTTATATGCTCTTTCTTTCACACAGGAGTTGCCAATCATGTAAAATTCATCAGTGAAGCTATGAAATATTCCAAGATGTTGTAGTTCCAGACCTGTTTACCATCAAACTCTTAAAATCGTACAATATCATCACAAAATCGTTCAATACATTATCTTAATAGTTAAAAAAATAAACATACAGTATATTTAATGTATCGTACCTCAAAATTGTACATTGTATGCCAAAATCATAAGAGTTAACAGGTCTGTATTTCTAGTAGTGGAGCTCTCAGTAGCTGTACAACATGCCATCAACATAATGGTAAAACAAATCTTTAGTAGTCATTTTATATCAAGATTTATTGAATCATTATAACAAAGGGATAGTTTGTTATATAAACATAAAAGTGATTCAGATTTGTTTCAGTCGAAGAGCCAGGCTAACTCAATTCTAGCCAATTGTCTTGTGACAACCCCCCCAATAGCCAAGGATATGCATGATGCAGATTGGTGACAACTAAATTAAAAAATATATGTTCTTAGAGACAATGAAACTAATCTCAACTGAACAACGCTGCTGTATGATAGTATGACGCACTCACTGACGCTGTGTTCAGCTCGTTTTGAGGCAGCTCTTCCACCTTTCTTGGCACATCTGACCGAAACAGGTACCTGTGACCTTGACCATCCCTGTGACCCAGCCGTCCGTCACTGCCACACCCCCAGGTGTACACCGAGCCACTACTGGTTGCAGCAGAACTGTGGATGCCCCCAGCGGATATGGAGACAACAGCTTCATTGTTGAAGTACTCCTTGGGCACTGGAGTGGGGGTGTACCTTGATTTCTGTGGGACACAACGTAGAACACATTATTATGCTAAATTTATTTATAAAATATTTGCATGCAAAATAGACAATGCATGAATTTTGAGTCAGTAATATAGCACAATGATTAGTCATTTAAAAAAATCTAAATTTGATCAAGTGTATTTGAATTTAAAAATGTCCTTCAATAATCTGTGAAACATTAGGAATTTATCAGTCATAACTTCTGAGGAATTTATCTGCCATAATTATTAAGGATATTTTCCGTCATAACTATTACTGTTTCAAATTTCAAGGCCATATAATTGCCCTAAGAACCAAAGATTTAAAAAAAAACATCTAATGTGAGAAACACTAATTAAAGACAATGAACTGACCTGGTCTCCAAGGCCAAGCTTCCCTTTATATCCATCTCCCCAGACTAACATCTCCCCCTGTTTAGTCAAGGCGAGTGTGTGGCCATGGTGTTCTCCCTTGCTGCAGCTGACAGAGCTGATATGGCATCCTGCAGTGTCACACTTAGTTGGGTTGTATACATCAGTAAGTTGTGACTGTCCCTGACCAAGCGCCCCATCAGAACCTTTACCTTGATGTGGATGAATGCAAAGACTTTGGTGAATAAATGGTTTATTATCAGACATACCTATGAGAATAAATGGTTTATAAAAAAAATATACATCTATAGGAGAATAAATGGTTTATAAATTAATCTCATGAGAGGCTTAAGAATTTAAAATTTTGTCACGCAAGCAAGAGAACAAATGCTTCCATCATCATAAATTCTTATAGAAATAACAAATGCTGCCATTATCATAAATTCTTAAAGAGAGAACAAATGCTGCCATTATCATAAATTCTAATAGAGAAAACAAATGCTGCCATTATCATAAATTCTTATGGAGAAAACAAATGCTGCCATTATCAGGAATTCTTAAAGAGAGATGGAAGACCTCAGTGCTAAAAATACTTAAGTTAAAAATACCCATTTTCAGATGATCCAGTTCAAAGATTCTTCTCGCCCATAAAATTTGGTCATTCTTATATTTTAGTTTGTTTAAATAAGAGACTTGGGTACATTTTAATGTGTTCAGATTTATGCAGTACACTTGGCTAAACCGGATAAGGACATTACAGTTAAGATTGATCGTGACAAAAATGTGACATAAGCACTCTTAGCACTAGGGTCTTTGATTTCAGATCATTATTCCCAGTTGACATGTTCTTGATTATGTATATTGCTGTAAAATATTTTGTTCAAGGTGGGTAAAAAGGAATGTTCTGAAAGTTCCTGTTTAAACTAAGCACTTATGAATACAAATGGTTATCAATGATGTTATTATAAAGTTTTTCATCATTGCTTGAGAACACAATTTTATTTTAAGCATTAGTGTCAGCACCTTGTTGACCAAATCTTTTTAACAGCTCTAACTGAGTTAGAAGAAAAACATTAAATTATCTCAATGCAAACATGAGAAGAAATTTCTATTATGAGACTCGACTTTTCACAGCTAAAATATTTTGTTGTGACCAGAATACCTGACATGAACAATGAAAATATGTTGTATGTGACAAGAATCCCTGATATGAACAGCTAAAATGTGTTGTATGTGACAAGAATACCTGACATGAACAACTAAAATATGTAGTATTTGACAAGAATACCTGACAAGAATTCCTGACAGGAAAAACTTAAGTATGGTGTATGTGACAAGGATACCTGACACGAACAAAAGTCCGCATTGTGTGACTGTCCCACAATGGCTGTAGCCAGCATCAACAGCCACAACAATAAACTCGGAGAGCTGCTCCAGCTTAGTTGGTGAGAGAATGTCACGGTCAGACCCATGGCCCAGCACACCATGTTGGCCCCGACCCCAGGAATATACCCGTCCTTCTGAAGTCCATACATAGGTGTAATTGTGACCACAAGCAACACCTGGAAATTAAATCGTTTTTTTTTATATATTTGCTTAATTACATTAAAAGACATACTTTATAGTTTATATTATAAGTTAGTGTGTGGTGGTGGGGGTTGGGATGTAAAGGGGAGAGAAGTAAGGACTGGAACACAATGTGTAAAGGTGAGGGTGAGTGTTGAGGAGAAATGGCTTAGGGAAAAGGGTGAGGAAAGGGGCAGAGGTCAAGTTTAAATCATCATCATCAGTGGCACTACAGCCCTGGCCTGCTCCACCACATCCTTCCACTCGGAGTGATCCATGGCTTTCCGTCTCCATGCTCGAACCCCCAACTGGTGTAAATGGTCAAGTTTAAAGGGGTTAGGAAAGGGGTGAGGGAGAAAGGAAGCACTCATAATTTTAAAAATCTCAAATCACAGCAAAAAAAAAAAAAAAAAAAAAAAAAAAAAAAAAAAAAAAAAAAAAAAAAAAAAAAAAAAAAAAAAAAAAAAAAAAAAAAAAAAGGACAGACTTTACAGTTTAAATTACGATAAAAATGATAAATGATGACGAAAAAAATCTGAGGTTATAGTTTAAACTATCATGAAGTTCATCAGAACGAACCTGACACTTTCACTTCTGTGAAATAAGACACATGAGATGGGATCCCCATTGCTGCACTTCCCTCTGAACTTGATGTGATGGAATTCCCACAAGCCTTTTTGTGGCCCCATATGTAAACCTGGCCCTCAACTGTTACAGCCGCTGCATGCCAGGAGCCACAGGAGACCTTCTCATGAATGGGATCAAAATTAACATCAACACAGTTTTATCACTGCCTTTCAGTAAAAAATTAACTGAAATGTACCTGATATCTTTGACAGAAATAGAGGATTTTAAACTTCAATGGCTTGATCCCAAATTAGCTATAGTAAATGTTTTCAAAGGTACTCTATTATTTTGTATTCGTTACTAGATGGTGCTAAATACTTTTCAAAAGAGAATAATTTTTCAAACGAATTTCTCGTTGCATTCAATTACATTGTATGGGAAGGGAACATAATGGGAATAGAGCATAGAATGATCAGCAAGTTTTCCATAGCAATCAAGAGCTACAGATTTAAATACGGTTAAATGTATGTAGTTTTAGAAGAAAAAAAACTATTACACTTAACATAATCTATTGCACCTGCTGGACACCACCAAAGCTGTTTACAAGAGAAAACAATGGGACATCATCCTCTGAATCACCCAAACCGAGGCGTCCAAATTTACCACAGCCTGCAGTGTACAAACACCCATCTCTTGTAACAATGGCTGGAAAATCAAAAATAATCTGCTTGTAATCAAGTTTTTTAGTTGAAGTGCACTGACAAGGCATAAAAATCATCTTGAAAAAATGAAATCTCAAAATAGCATTGACTAATGACAACACTGGAAAACAAAAACAAAAATTTTGTAGGCTAATGGACATCCATCGTGTGATTTATACTAAATCCAGCTTATACTAAACCCTGTTCAGCCTAAATCCAGTTTATATTAAATCCATTCTGCTGATTCCAAATCTAAAGTCCCATTTTGCATAGCGCGTCAGGATTTTAAGTTATGCAGCTTCATGTGAAAATTAAATTTTTCTGATATGCAAACAATAGAAAAGAGCTGGTATTTTCTTATATAAGTGTGTGACTACACTCAGAGTAGTGATAATATTAAACTAATGTTATTTATTCTTACAAAACTTAATTTAACCTGTTAACAATTTGAAATTTTATGTTTGATTTCTTAAATTAAAAAAAATAAAATCCAAAGAATTCTTAATAAAAACATGCTGAGATCTATCTATTAACCAATAAAATAAAATGTAAGAAAAAAGGATCTTATGATAAAGTCTTTAAATCAAATATAAATATATTTATGTTACTCGGATAAAAGCCAACACTTTTGTTCTATACAAGTTCAAATGTAATTTATGAAGTTGCTCTTGCATTTGTGAGTGGCAGCTGTTGCCTGCTGAATGAACCAGTAGTAATCACCCTCATATTGGAATTGCAGTGGCCTTTATACCTTGTTTCCAAGTGGAAGACATCTTGATGAAATCTCTCTCTTCATTCTCATTACTTTCATCAACTAAGTTTGGTGGTAAAAAATCCAGATTAGATTGTAAGAAATGCATTTTCGGGACATCAGAAGCCGAGTTTCATCACTGTTAGCATAGTTCTGTGATTCTTGAGAAAGTTTTGTGTTACCATCGTATATGCATCCTTCTTCTTCTTCTAAATCTTAAAGGCCCACGATCAATTTATTGATCATTTTGGCTCCTATGCATGTAGATGGGATTTGCAATGTTTCTGATCCAGGTGTTGATGAGGAAATTTCACTGATTTCTAGTGCCACTTTGTGAGGGAATCATGCACTAGGGGTTTGAAGGCTTGAGGCAATAGACACAAATGTGTCAGGTGTTGTCGCCTCAACCGTTCCTTTTGAAAGATTGTTTCAGTCCCTGATTGTCTTGGGCGGGAATGAGCAGCTCCTATACTGGCTTCTTGCTGGTATGAGCCTGAATTGCCTGTCATGGCCTCGTCGCTGTCTATGAGGGAGAGGGACGAGTTTCTGTTTAATACTGGAACAGTGGACCAGCCCATTATTTATCTTGTACATCATGGAGAGCCTGGATTGTCGTCGTCATTCCTCCAATGGTGACCAGCCTAGTGTTTCCAGCATGCTGCCAACACTAGAGGTATTCCTGTAGCGGTTTAGGACAAAGCGTGCTGCTCATCGCTGGACCGCCTCCAACCTGTCAACGCTCTTCTGGGTAAATGGGTCCCAGACTGAAGATGCATAATCTAAAACCGGACGGACAAAGGCTTGATATGCTCTTTCTTTTACACAGGAGTTGCCAATCTTTAGATTTCGCCTTAAGAACCCTAGGGCCTTGTTTGCTTGGTTACATACATTGTTAATATGCTCGTCCCAGCGGACCTCTCTTTGAATGGTAACAACCAGGTACTTTACGGAGGAAACTGGCTCAAGTATATGGCGGTGCAGTTCGTATTGATAGTGTAGGGGAGTACAACTTCTAGAGACTGATAGTGTCTGGCACTTGGCAGGGTAAAATTCCATGTCCCAGCTCATCTCCCACTCAGCTAACAAATTGAGATCCTGTTGTAGCTGGTCCTGGTCAGATCTGTTGGCGATCGTCCTATACACCGCTGTGTCATCTGCGAACAGTCTTGCTTGTGATGTCAGTTTCTAGGTCATTAATGTATGCTAGGAACAAGCAGGGGCCTAGCACTGATCCCTGGGGGACCCCTGACTTCACATCGACAAAGGAGGAGCTTGTACCGTCCACCACTACTGCTTGGCATCGGTGGCTGAGGAAGCTAGAGATCCATGTTTTAGTGGAGCCTTGGATCCCATATCTCTGGCAAGCTCAAGGGGGTTCAGCTTAGTTCTAATTCTAAATAAAGTATCCTGCATCAGTTTGTGGCCTTCTGCCCCAATAAAGATTCTAACTTTCAGCTAAGCATCAGTTTGTGGCCTTCTGGGCCAATAAAGATTCTAACTTTCAGCTAACCATCAGTTTTGATTGCTCGAAATTTCTATTTTAGATTCTTAAAACTTTGTTCATCACAATCCATTGAAAATTTTCACGAAACCAAGTTTAATGTAAACTAGTGTTAAACACATTTTTAATGGATAATGGATAAACCAACTATCAGTTTTGAAATTGTACAGACCAAAAATGCGCACAGCTCAAGGAGTCTATTGATTCCCTTTGTAATGGTTGCCGTCATCATGACTGTTCCACAACCAAAAAAATCACACATTTTTTGTGTATCCCAGGTGAAACCCTAGAAGAAGTTCTACCACTTTCAGGTCAGCAAAGATGTTTGATTTGTGTTATGAGTTATTGATCACTTTTAAAATGATTTTCATTGAACCATGTCTCTTTGAGGCTTACAGCATGAACTATAGGAAGATACGATTTTTCATAACAATTGTGCAACAATATTGTTTTTAAGCTCGCCTTGCTGGAATCTAAGAAAATACTCCACTTTTCAGGAATGTATTCGCAACCTAAGTTCAGAGTGAGACTGTTCAAATCATTACAGAAATAGATATTATTTTTAAGTTTATATATATTTGCATATATATTATCAAGAGACTGAGTGAGGCCTGTTGAGCCCTAGAAAAACTTTCGCTACAGAGGGGTTCAACTTTTTATTGCGGCAATGTTCATGCGCAATATAATCGACACTTCCTATTTCTGCCATTTTTTCAAACTAACATTTTTTAAAATTTTTAATGTTATAGCTCAAAATTATTAAAGCTATTTCATCTTTGCTTAATTTGTTCTATAAAACTGAATAGTTTTTGTAATTACATTTTTTTTTTTCAGAAACCATAAAGCTAGGTTAATCCTGAATTGAGTAAAGGCATATACTTTGAGCACTTTATTTTATGCTCTACCTATTATATAATATTCTTACGCCACATGTCACCCTACTAACTACTGGCCATTTTATTTACGTTATTTAAATTTCTTGAATGTATGCATAACTTAAAATCTAGATAACCTAGGCAGGCAGATTCTGACTTCATATTTGGAATCAGCACGCTAAAATACACATTTTATAGCCTACTTTCAGTAGCAAAATCATTGTCAACTAGTGTGATTACAGGGTTTTCAAACAAACAAGCCATTTTTTCCTATACCTGTAAACAATCCTCCACAACAAACTTGAACAACTGATTTTAAGTTTTGTCCAGCAGATGTTTTATTTGCTGGTTGCGGAGTGTGAACAGTTTCTTTATTTCCTAAACCAAGTTGGCCATTTTTACCAAAACCCCATGTGTAAACTGCCATTTCTCTGGTGGATATAATTTTTATTAAAGAATTAAATCAATTGCTACGTTAATTAATAAATTAAAATATATTTTAAAGAACTGACTTTCTAAGATTTAACATAAATACTGTGTCAGCAGCCAGTGGATAATATAAGTAGGATAGGATATAATGATATAGTTATAGTATAGGATTATAGTTATAGTTAGTATTGTCCATTCAATTATCTTTTATTTGATTACCAAATTTTGTCTTACAAACGCAACAATAATATTTTTTTTATATTTAAAAAAAACAAAAAAAACTTCTCACTCTTTTTTTGGGTCCGAATTCTACTAAACTTACTTCGATTATAAAAATATATTATTTTGGCAATAACACATAAATTAAAAGTAAAAGTATATATAACATAAACAACGGTCTTTCACTCTTCTTAGTTTAGTAACAACCTTTAATAACTTGAAATGTCAGGAAGTGCCGCACAGGACTATGACTGTTGACCCTTTAGCTTAGGTACGCAAAAGGTCCTAATTACAACCATAGCTCCCGGTTTCAACCCATAAAATTATGATAATAATCCTATAGTTGTGCAGAGTAATTTAATAATAATATTAGCAATCGTTTCTAATTTCTAGTTCAATAAATATTGTTCCAGGTCTGAACAGGCAGTTCTAGCAGTTGACGATCAAGTCCCAAGGGGGATAAGTTCTGTGTCGGTTGGGGGCATTAATGATTTTAACGATTTCATTTACAAACATTATGAAGTCAAAATATGAACCACAACTATTGACAGCTGGAAATAAAGGGGAGAACTAAAAGTAATAAGGCTGCAGAACAACTAAATAAGTAATTAACAAGTTTTATTTAAATTGTTGACCAAATATAACAAAATCATGTACTCCCTGCCATTTATTGATGAAACCTGTGGGTGGGTGCCATTTTCAGGCCCCGTCCCGGGTGCAGCTTTTCCATGGTTCCCCCTGCGACCGTTACCAAATTCTTTTCATAAAATAAAATAATTATTAAGAGACCATTTAACAGTGATTCAAGAATATTGTTCACAACCTTGTTGTCACAGGGTGGCTGTTACACCATGGTCAAAGTACTCCCCACAGGTACACCATCGTGGGGAAAGTCGAGAGACTAGGCATGGTGGTCCCCTGTGGCTCTTATCACACTGGGGAAATGTGTAACCAAGCAAACAAGACCCTGAGGTTCTTAAGGCGTAATCTTAAGATTGGCAACTCTTGTGTGAAATAAAGAGCCTATAAAGCCTTTGTCCTTCCAGTTTTAAATTATGCATCTTCAGTCTGGGACCCATTTACCCAGAAGAGCATTAACAGGATGGAGGCGGTCCAGCGACGGGCTGCAAGCTTTGTCCTGAACCGCTACAGGAATACCTCTAGTGTTGGCAGCATGTTAGAAACACTGGGCTGGTCACCATTGGAGGAACGACGACGACTATCCAGGCTCTCCATAATGTACAAGATAATAATGGGCTGGTCCATTGTTCCAGTATTAAACAGAAACTCGTCCCTCTCCCCCATAGACAGCGACGAGGCATGACAGGCCGTCTCATACCAGCAAGAAGCCAGTATGGGAACTGCTCATTCCTGCCCAAGACAATCAGAAACATTTGCATCTATTGCCTCAAGCCTTCCTACCCCTAGTGCATGATTCCCTCACAAAGTAGCACTTGCAATCAGTGAAATATCCTCATAATCATAAACACCAGGCACATAAACATTGCAAATCCCCTCTACATGCATAGGAGCATGATCAATAAATTGATCGTGGGCCCTTAATATTAGAAGAAGAAATGTATGAATGCGAGTATGTATACAGTTGTCTGTGACTTACGTTGACGTGCCTTGAAGGGGTACTTTGTTGTGCCGTCATGGCAGGATGTGATTACTATCTGGGTGGACATTGAGACTAGATGACGTCGTGGGTCGAAGGTTGGGGAGGAGCGAGCGTGTATATATAGCGATGCCAAATTTGAACGTTTCACTGACCACTCTACAGTGCGCACACGAGACTTCTCTTGTGAGTGTTTAGACATAGACTTGGACCTGCCCTGTACCAGTTTCGCCACAGCATCCGCATGGAAAGGAATAGTCAAACCCTTTAGTATTATTGATACTGGCGAGATAAATCATTACAAGCACACGGCCGTGTTGACGGTGAACAAAAGCTAATACAGAGCGACGGCGAGGCGTAAGAAAGGGCCGATGACAATCCTTGATCATGGGACAGACCCTTACGTAGTAGAGGAACGACAGTCATACAAGACCAACTTATAAAGAGGTGTAGCGACTCGCTCGAATCGTAAGTCAGAATTACCAGTTTTGTGTCTTACTTGTAATCTGTATACGTTCTTTGGATAGTTATCATTGTATGGCACCCATTCAGATTTCGTATTATATCTTTTAGTGCTGTTCATAATCATATTTCATGCACATCTCATAGGATATTGGTCGTATATCGCATATTATGTTGCACATTGTATTAAGATAATAAGTTAGCTTTCGTTATTTTAAGTTAAACCGGGGGGATTTATTTTGTTTATTGTATTGCTATTGTGTTTCCTTGGGCACATCAAAACAAGGTGGTGTCAGAAGCATTGTAGAAATGAGACAAAGTGTCCCTCAAGCACAAGGTACCACGTGACACTTGTCCAATGGTCATTGTCGTCACTTTATTTTTTTTATAGTTAACTTAAAATGGAGATGGGAAAAGTGAGGTGGTGGGCTGATAAATGACACAGAACCCAGGGTGTTTGAGACACTGCCATCTGGATCCTAATACGCCGTGTCGTATGAGTTGGAACGAGGTCAACAATAAATGGGATCGGGGATAAGCTCGTTGATAATAATTGTATGGATTTCTTTGACAGTTATTTCAATTATTTTATACTTCGAGGTGGTCAGTCAGTTTGGTAGTTTAAGGTGGTCAGTCGGTTTGGTACATGGAGGTGGCCAGTCAGTTTGGTACCTTAAGGTGGTCAGTCAGTTTGGTACTTGGAGGTGGTCAGTCAGTTTGGTACTTGAAGGTGGTCAGTCAGTTTGGAACTTGAAGGTGATCAGTCAGTTTGGTACTTAAAGGTGATCAGTCCGTTTGGTACTTTAAAGTGATCAGTCAGTTTGGTACTTTAAAGTGATCAGTCAGTTTGGTACTTTAAGGTGGTCAGTCAGTTTGGTACTTGGAGGTGGTCAGTTATTTTGGTACTTTAAGGTTGTCAGTCAGTTTGGTACTTGAAGGTGGTCAGTCAGTTTGGCTCTGAAAGATGGTAAGTCAGTTTTGTACTTTAGGGGCCGTCCATAAAGTACGTCACGCTCCATAGGGGGGAGGGGGTGTAAGAAAGTGTGACAGTTTGCGACGAGGGGAGGGGGGTCCGGCCATGTATGACGTCACACATTTATTTTTTTTAAATTTTATTTCTAATTTATTTTTTATTTTTCAGTAGAATTTAATAGCATTAAATTTAATTTAATTATTTAAAAATAATTTTCAAAAATTGTGTGCATCATTTTAATTAGTTTTATGTCAAAATAGCATGAAATGCGTATCTCATGTATGTGTTGTTCACGATTCCTCTCGCTAGGAGTACTAGTATGCTGTTGCAAAGCCTTGTTTTTATGTATAGCCTTGTTTTCGTCATGCCTGAAGTATTATTAAAAATTATATACTCATTTGGTGAGGTCAAGTTTCTCTAATACACTTCTTAACCTGTGTAAAAAGATTGCATTATCGGTAGATTATATAAAACTTGACCTCACTTATTGTAAATGAAAGAGCAGCATATAAATGATGTGTATTATATAATTGTATAGTCTAATTTTGCAATTTTTTTTTTCAAATTCAATCTAGATTGAGTTACTGCTTCAATGAATAACTGTGTAACTATTCTACTATTAAAGTCATTTTAATAATGTGATAGTGGAAATTAAGGGGAAATTTTATATTTTAATACAGTTTAATAGTAAAGTGTGTTTTAGATTAAATTTTAATTAGGTGTTAATTTTTTTTTTAAAAATGTGTTCGCAAGTGTGACGAACTTTAGGGGGTGGGGGGGGGTCCGAGATTTGTGACAGTTTGTGACAGGGGGAAGGGGGGGGGGTTAAAATGGTCAAAAATAGCTTGACGGACTTTATGGACGGCCCCTTAAGGTGGGCAGTCAGTTTGGTATCTGAAATTTAATGATGAAGAATTCTACCAATAAATAGGCCTATATTAACGTTTCCAACTCTGATCTTTTCAAGTATTCAAGGCCCCAGGGTAAATATAATGAAGTGAACCTTATTAATTCATATTTTATTTTACACATTTTAGGTTGTTTCTTTTAGAAAAATCGTTTGGTGAGTACACCAACATATCCTAAAAGTTGAGCAAGACTTTCATAGCAATAAAACCCAACACCTGCTCTAACACTAGTCTACGTGACGACATTATTCGGGCCTAACACCTGTTGTCCATTCTGAAGATCTTTCTGTCATAAATTACTACAGCAGTGTGTTAACTGAAATGTTTTGTACTCTGGTGGTATTTAAATTGTATTTCCATTAAAAGGTCTTTCTTGTTTGATAGCATGGTGGGTGAGGTGATTTTTAATGTTTAGAGGTCTGTGGAGTAATCAAAAGATACAGAACACACGACATGTAACGTCACATGACGCCAATTAGCGTGTGTTGGATTTTAAAGTCATCTCTAAATATAGACGTGCAACGACCATCCTGAGAACATTTTACGTTTGAGGAGTTGAGATTTTAGTGTTTTCTGGGCTATGAGATTCAATTTGGCATATCTGATCTGTTTGAATGTGTTATGAGAACTCCTTTGGTAAACCTAAGCTCTTTGCTTCTGCTATGAGACAGGTGACTGAAATATTTTTTTTAATATGAAAAGAGTGAAAAGGGGGAGGGGGCGTTTATGGGTATTGTTATGAAGTGGAGATGGGGAGCGGCGCTGCCAGGGTAAATAGTCTCACGAGGCGGGACAAGCTTTTTGCCGCCCCCTTCCTCGAAAAGAAACCCTCTGCAGTTGGCCGAAAATGCCACCCTTTCAAATAAAGAATCAACTGTCGCTCGGGGCGTACAGCCCTCTCCGCATCCCCTTCCTATGCCACAGCGTCCCTTTAAAAAAAAAAAAAAAAAAAAGTGTCGGACGGAGCATCCTCTGCACCCGTCATCCTACGCATGTCTACTAAAGTGTAACTAGTCAAAGGTCACAAGCATAAAATTACTTCCGGCATAAACAAATATTTGACTTGCCCGTCAACACTTGTCAACAGACTTCTTCAGCACAGTGCTGCACAGTGTAATTGGCTATGTGTGCTTTCGTGCCTTTTCTTTATTTTAATTTAAAATGAAGAAAAGGAACGAACTTTTCGGTTTCGTCTTAAGGATTTGTGGGAAGTCCTTATTTTCTTTTCATACTATAGTAAGTTTTAAAAATTCTATTGCTTATACTTATACTTTATTCACTTTATTTTCCTTTCTTAGACTTTTTATTAATATTTTTTTATGAATGATCGATGTCGATGGTGAGACTAGCTCACTTGCACTTAGTTTTGTATATCGTACTGAATATATTGGATACTATATTATTATTACATTTATTTATATGAATATGTTTTGTTATCCCGATGCCGATACACTGTTAGTAACAGTCAGTGTTAGTGTTAGTATATAGCATATGTAGTATATAATATATATATTATATATATATATATATTATATATATATATAAAATATATATATATATATATATATATATATTTATATATATATATATATATATAATATTATATATATTATATATAATATATAATATATATATTATATATATATATATATTATATATATATATAAAATATATATATATATATATATATATATCTTTATATATATATATATATATATAATATTATATATATTAGCATTTGTCGAAGTATTTAAGTAACTTTGCACATTCAGTCAAATTTGAATATTAGATTTCTGTTTCCCCATAGACTTGAATATCTGCGAGTTCTTCTTTATATTGCATATTTGAAATATCAGACCAATCCACTAACATTGGCTGCATCTTTCAAGTTGAAAAATCAGTTTGTTTTAAATGAAAAATCTTTCATCTAAATCAGCTTACAAAATTTTTATAGATGATTGACAATTACAAGTATAGTGGTATCAATCACTTCAAATTTTTTGAGCCAATGAAACTTTTCAACACTTTTGTTAGAAATTATTTCTGACACAATTCAGTAAATGTAATGAAACCAAATAACTTCACTTTTGCATCAACAAGAGTTTTATTTGTTCCTTGAAGTTGGTTTGTTAATATATTTAGTTGTTTAAAGATATCGGATAAATAACTCACAAATGCTTTACCATCAACTGTTAACAGGTACTTCATTTCAGATTTCTCACTTGAAAAGTCACCAAGAGTATCAAATAGTTCCATACATCTTTTCAAGCCATTTCCTTTCGAGAGTCACCTTACTTCAGTGTGAAGTAAAAGTCTCACATGGTCTGCTTTTGTTCTTCACAAAATAGCTTGAAAAGACACACACATTTGGAATTAGCTTTAATAGCATTGATACACTTTATAACTGAATTTATTACTTCATTAAGAAGAGGTGAAATATTTTTAGCTACCAAGTTATAACTATAAATAACAAATTGCACAAGACACATTACTGGATTCTAATCCGTATAATATTTAAAGAAGCATTTTTTTTGTCCATCAAATCAGGAACACCATCTGCTGCAAAATATTTTATATTTTATTTTTCATTGGTATATTATTGACATTAAGTAATTTTGCTGCTTATTATATATATCTTTGGCAGTAATGGTACTTTTGATTGATTTACAGAACAACATTTCTTCAACAAAATCTCCTTTATCAATAATATATCTGACGTAAGTTATCAGTGCGGCCTCACTGCTCTCAAAGTTAATTCATTCATTTGCACTGAGAATTTTTTTTTTCAGCTTTCAATTAGTATTTCAATCTTCACTCATTTTCTCTCTTTTTTATTTTTTATTTTTGCTAACAGTATTGTTACTGAGTGTCATAGCTTTCATGTCTTTGTCATCTTTTTCCAGAACAGTTTTAAGAAATTCTGATAGTGATGGTTTGATTAAATTCTCTCCTATAGCCTATAGTATGATTTTTCCGAGATTTAGCTATGAGTAAAGAAATTTCATAAGCAGCATCAAAAGTATGATTGTCAGTTGCAGTATGAGCAGTAAACAGAGAATTTAAGGTTGTTCTTTTTCATAAATGTTTCTTTAATGTTTGAAAGTAATTCAGATCTGAAATAATATGACAACTATGTTTGGCCTTCAAATGCGCCTCAAAACGGTTGGTTTTCAAATTCTAGACAGCTCAAATTGCCCCCCTTAACACTCTAATTGCCCCACTGTGGGGCGTTGGCCCCATGTTGGGAAACACGGCAGTAGAGCATTCAGAACGCTGATGATCTGAAATGTCAGTTACCAGGACAGCCCTTCTTTTATTATTATTGTTATGGTAACATCTGGATGGCAAGGAATATTTGTGTACAAACACCAGAAAGCAATAGCAACTCCTGAATCTATGTCAAATGGGCCAAAATTTCCATGACATCATTTATGTATATATATTTAAGATCTCATATAGTCACAAATTGAGAAATTGTATTCAAAATAATGCCAGGCTTCATTTTTGGCTGGCATAAATATTTTCCATACTGTTTTTAAGTGAATAATAGTGGCATGGAAGTGATGGTTTCATATTTTTTAAGCAAGTTTCATATTTTTTAAGCAAAAATTTTTCTCATAACTTAGAATTAACAATCAATGTAATAGAAACTTTCTAAATTTTTCCCCTTAAAATATACTCAGAAGTACAATAGTTCTAAACTTATGCTGAGTAATTGTCAATATGTTTTCAGGTCAATCATAGGATCACTTTTAAATATTGATATTTCTGTAGAATAGAGAAAATATAAATTAGATTTTTTCATCATTCACTGACCTATGCCCCCAACATTTGACCACCTCCCAAATGCATATACATGCCAACCTGTGGGAACAAAAACTGTACAAAAAGTTTTAAAAAATGTACAACAGCATGGAAAACTATACAGAAAAAATGAAAAGTTGAAAAAATTAATTTATAAATTGTTCATTTAATTATTAATGTTTTGAACGCAAGAAAACTTTACCTTCTTGATAATTTCTGGATTAGAATGAAAATTCAAACAGGTTTCCTTGTTAATTTTGCTCTGTAAAATAGATGTGACTGAATTTTTTTTAAATATTGAATGTTTGAGAATGATCTATCCCAGTCTGCATGGCTGTGAGGCATAGATAATTCTAGGGTATTCAGTCATTGCATGGCTAATTCCAGTTTTCTATTCTTTAAATTAGGTTCACCCTTTTAATTTGGAGTCAAATGGTAAATTTAAAAATTATGTATTATACAATTCTCACTGGTTTCGGCTATAAATAACATATTCTTATACAAGGAAGAAGATTGCACCTGCTTTAGTTTTAGACAGAGTAGCACATTAAATTAAGTCATTCAGTAGTAATGAATAGGCATAATGACTAAAGCTATTCATTGTTATTTATTTGAATACATTTAATTATTTAATGGAAATTAATAGAACACTTAGTGACATTGTAGTTTTTGCCAATAATTACACTAACAAATGTCTACTGTACAATCCTGTCTTTTAACTAATATCAATTATGCATGCGATACTATATTACATAGTTACTGGTCAGCAACCAAACAGCACTCAGTTTCTGTATATAGATGGAATACCGCTCCCAAAACTGGGGCCAAAGGTCATTTTGAACTACCACTAAGACTTATGCTTTGAAAAATGTTGAATTTATTGCAATGCAATTTGTGAACATGTGAAAAACAGTACAAAATGCTGTATGGCCATACAACTCTTAAAAACTGTAAAAAGTACCACGTAGCATAAGTGCAAATGCATTTCCATGGACTCCACCATAATCTCCTGGAGCCCAGGTTAAGAACACCTGTTGTTTGATTTTTTTCCTATACCGTATAAAAGCTGTTCCACAATTCAGTTTAAATTTGCAAAATTAAACTATTATCAATTAGTTAAAATATCATAGTTTATTTAAAATTATTTAAGAAACGCAGCTCCAGAAGTTTTGTTTCTTGTAAAAAGCCCATTTGATAGTGTGAGATTTTATTGCAGATTAATTTTTCACTGTCTCAGTGTTGATACGCTAATGCTGGTAAACATGTTTCAGAAATTTTTTTTACATATACTCTTACATGTTTCAGACATTTTTTTTTGTTAAATAGAAGCTTTAAATTTAATAAAAAATTACTTTATTTCTGAACCTCTGATGGTCTTTTTGTTCTTCAAACATCCACTAATTGCTTGCTCTATCTTTGTCTTGCGTTCCACCAGCTAAAAGCAGCGCGCACAAGAGCAGTTTAGCCGTACTTGTGCAAAATGAGGATTCACATCAGGAGGATCTTTTATGCTGTTTGTCTTGGATTTGCCACGCTGTGCATTTTCTCAACGGTGTATTTGTTTTATGGTAGAGGATCCCTTAAGGTCAAGGCTGACACCCTCAATAACATTTTGGACACCTACCAACATGCATTTGCGTCACCCACTCCCTCAGCACTCTACTGGAACATTGATGTGGTCAAAGAGGAGTTTAAAAACATGAGTAGAAGTTCTCAAGAAAATGTTGGAACAAGAAATGAGGCGGATATAAGCGCAGAAATATCAGTGGCCATGACAATACAATACAACTTGGATATATTTAAAAGTGATCAAATCCCAATAAATCGTGATGTCCCCGATTCCAGACCTCAGGGGTAAGTCTAATTTTCTCCAGTTCGCCAAGTAATATGCTATTTCTCATTTTGATGATTCGCTAGTAGGAAACATTAAAGTGACATGAAGTGACTTCTTTTAATAATTTAATTAAGAGTAATCAATAATGTTTAAGAATTTACAAAAAAACAGCAACTTTGCATTATATCATATACCTGGGTTTCAACATTGAGTCCAAACTTTTTGAAATATTTATTACAAATTTTCTGCATTCATAGTTTTAAGAAGCTTTTTCAGATGCCTTGCATTATCCTACACTAGGGATGGTGCAGGAAATACATTGAACCCCAGTGCTTGAGGACCTGGCCTGTCCAGATGATATAATATAGGATTACTGTCTGGCAAGTACCAAGAAGCCCAGGAAAAGTAAAAAAGACTAGCAGAAACCGCCAGCTCCAATGGCTTCATGGTTAATGCCAGGTAAACGCAGGTCAGGAGACAAAATGGGGAAGATAGTCCATGTGATCAACAGCCCACTGGGCGATGCGAGTGAGTTGGAAATCTTGATACGTATACGGTGACTTTGACCGAAAGATCAACACAAGTATCAGCCAATGAAACCAAGCATTTGGAATGTTGATATCCTTACAGAGATTGAGTGACCTGAGCGTCTACCAGAATTTTAAAAGCAATCTCTCAAATGTCTCCCTCTGTTGATCACTGGAAGATCTCTTGGACACCAGAGCAGAAGCTTGAATTTTTGCCAGAACAAATTTCAGGCGTGAAATCAAACAGACACATTACTGAAGGAAGGCATGGTCGTGTTTGTAGAAGGCCACCAAGCTCATTTCATAGGACAAATCTAAGGTGAACAACCCAGGGAAAGCAAAGCTGGCAAAGGCAGTAGGATGGTATATGCTGATTAGAAATCTGACCCTGCAGGCAGCTCTCACTGAAGCAGCTGATAATTGGAAGTGTCATTGTTTTGCCTTGACCTCAAGCACCAGTCTGTGAATGAGGACTGAATCGAATGAATGAGATTAGTGTCTGATTGATTGACCATAAGTTTCTTTTTTTTTTGGTCCTGATTCAAGGATCCTTTGCAATCTTCTATCACCAACAGATGCAGTGCACTGGTTTATCCAGTCAAGCTGCCCACAACAAGCGTGGTCATTCCTTACCACAATGAGTGGCCGTCGGTCATTCTAAGGACAGTGCACAGCCTGATCAATCGAACACCAAAACACCTTCTTAAAGAGATCATTCTTGTAGACGATGCCAGTGATGCCGGTGAGTCTTATGTTGTTATCAGCCCAATTTAGACCACTACATTTTGCAGATTGTAGCGGCTGGAGTCAAAATGTTCAGGCAAGTATTTTATTACTTTGTTCAGGGGGTATTATATTTAAAAAATATGGGTGGCTGAGTGGTCTAATCTGAGCAAATCTCAAGTTGGTGATCTGGAGTTCAATCCCCGCCAACGGCCAATCAAGCAAAAACATTACCAGCACCCCGGGTGGAGGGGACTCGTTGACCTTGGATGGCAACTCATCTAATAAAAGGAAACTCTGAATTCGAACCCGAAGATGGAGTCCCGTAGGCAGATAACATTGGTACAATGAAACATTCAGACAAATCCTGCGATGCCTCTGGTGCATCCACATGATGTTCCCTTGGGTTATTCAGCGGCGTGGAGAGAGGTGATTTGCTGTTGGTAATCAGCTTATAATCCTAGAAGAATAATCCCAGGCCTTGTGGATTTCGTCCTGCGAAGTTAACACCATCATAACATTGTGACCGATGGGTGCACACCATCATAACATTGTGACGGATGGGTGCCAGGAAAAAAAAATTATATTTAAAAACAAAGATTTTTAAAAGCATAGAAAACAACTTTACTTTGGTCGAGTACCAAACAAATATTAAATTTTCACACACCAGGGATAAAACAGATGACACCATGTCGGATAAAACACCTGACTCCATGTCAGATAAAACACCTGACCCATTGTTACATAAAAGAAAAAAGATAATTTTGACCAAGCTCTCACTTATCTTGAGTTTCCATTTTACATTGAGTTGCTTCAACACTTGCCTTTTTTGTTCCACTGTAGGGATTTGATCCCTACACAACTTTTGGCTAACCTGCGTGTTTTAAACATGTTGTACTCATTGTGATTTGATCCCTACAGGTCCTTCAAATGACCAGCATGTTTGAAACATGTTGTACTCATTGGGATTTGATCCATACAGGTCCTTCAAATGACCAGCATGTTTGAAATATGTTGTACTCATTGTGATTTGATCCCTACAGGTCCTTCAAATGACCAGCATGTTTGAAACATGTTGTACTCATTGTGATTTGATCTCTACAGGTCCTTCAAATGACCAGCGTGTTTGAAACATGTTGTACTCATTGTGATTTGATCCCTACAGGTCCTTCAAATGACCAGCATGTTTGAAACATGTTGTACTCATTGTGATTTGATCTCTACAGGTCCTTCAAATGACCAGCATGTTTGAAATATGTTGTAATCATTGTGATTTGATCCCTACAGGTCCTTCAAATGACCAGCATGTTTGAAACATGTTGTACTCATTGTGATTTGATCCCTACAGGTCCTTCAAATGACCAGCATGTTTGAAACATGTTGTACTCATTGTGATTTGATCTCTACAGGTCCTTCAAATGACCAGCATGTTTGAAATATGTTGTAATCATTGTGATTTGATCTCTACAGGTCCTTCAAATGACCAGCATGTTTGAAATATGTTGTAATCATTGTGATTTGATCTCTACAGGTCCTTCAAATGACCAGCATGTTTGAAACATGTTGTACTCATTGTGATTTGATCTCTACAGGTCCTTCAAATGACCAGCATGTTTGAAACATGTTGTACTCATTGTGATTTGATCCCTACAGGTCCTTCAAATGACCAGCATGTTTGAAATATGTTGTAATCATTGTGATTTGATCTCTACAGGTCCTTCAAATGACCAGCATGTTTGAAACATGTTGTACTCATTGTGATTTGATCTCTACAGGTCCTTCAAATGACCAGCATGTTTGAAACATGTTGTACTCATTGTGATTTGATCCCTACAGGTCAATTATATGACGAACCTAATTTTTTGTAACTTATGTGATATGACCTTAGATATTTTAAGAGCTGGCCCTTTTTTTCTAATCGTACCAACCACACAAACCTAAGAATTAAAAAAAAATGACTAAACTATGATCTATTTACAGGTATTCTAAAAGTTCATTTGAAGAACTACATAGCAGAGCACTTTCCTAAAGATCTTGTGAAGCTTGTTATACTGGACACTAGACAAGGTTTGATAAGGGCACGACTGGAAGGGCTTAAATATGTGACAGCTGAGGTGGTCTCCTTCTTTGACAGCCACATGGAAGTCAACAGAGATTGGTGGGTATAGTGGCAGAGATGGTGGGTATAGTGGCAGAGATTGGTGGGTATAGTGGCAGAGATTGGTGGGTATAGTGGCAGAGATTGGTGGGTATAGTGGCAGAGATTGGTGGGTATAGTGGCAGAGATTGGTGAGTCTAGTGGCAGAGGTTGGTGAGTCTAGTGGCAGAGATTGGTGGGTATAGTGGCAGAGATTGGTGAGTCTAGTGGCAGAGATTGGTGAGTCTAGTGGCAGAGATTGGTGAGTCTAGTGGCAGAGATTGGTGGGTATAGTGGCAGAGATTGGTGAGTCTAGTGGCAGAGATTGGTGAGTCTAGTGGCAGAGATTGGTGAGTCTAGTGGCAGAGATTGGTGGGTATAGTGGCAGAGATTGGTGAGTCTAGTGGCAGAGATTGGTATCTATAGTGTATCAATACATGTTTTAGGGGCCAGGTTTTAACCATAACAATACATGTTTTAGGCGGCCAAGGATCTTAGACACAAACAAATTGATGTTTTAAAAACCATATCAATACCTGTTTAAGGTGGGTCTGTAAAGATGGGGTTACCGGAAATTTATTTGAAGGAAATTTCGTCTATGGAAAATTGATTGACTGAAGTTTGATCCAATTTTAATTTTCAGTTCACACTATCAAATTTTCATCAAATTTCTTTTTGAACGCAATATACTAAATAGTAAAACAAAATAATGGGTTCAAAAAGAAATTTGACACAAAATTTGATAGTGTGAACTGAAAATTAAATTTGATCAAATTTCCTTTCTACCAAACTTCCATCTATCAATTTTCCGTCAACGAAATTTCTTTCAAACAAATTTCCGGATACGGTAAAAATGTATTGCTGCCCTCAGGTTGGAGCCTCTGCTGAATGAGATTGTGAAGAACAAGAAAACAATCGCCATGGGCCAGCTGGACTACGTTCATCGGGAGACATTTAATTACAACTTCTACCCAGGATATCGTACACGTTATGGCTTCCGCTGGGACATGCAGTTCTTTGAAACCTATTTCAGGCCTGACCAGCTGACCGGCAAGCTTGACTCCGACCCTATGCCGTAAGATGTTTACATTGCATCTGATCTATAAACAAAATTATTATAGTAAAACAAAATTGTGCAGCTGTAGGCAGTGTACCCTCACATGAATGAACTATTTTGTTAAACTGAAAGTTAAGCTCAGTGTCCACCCAACCGTCAGAGGTGTCCTCATGGTGGGATTATTATATTTCAGAGGTGTTCTCATGGTGGGATTATTATATTTCAGAGGTGTTCTCAGGGTGGGCTGATTGTTTTTCAAAGATTTTATCATGGTGTGCTGATGGTATCTCATGGGTGTTCTTATGGTGGACGGCTGATTATATTTCATAGGTGTTCCACGGTGGGCTGATTTTTTTTTCAGAGGTGTTCTCATGGTGGGGCCTGGCTTCACCGTCGATGTAGAATATTTCAAGAGCATTGGAGAGTACGATGGCGACATGAAGATATGGGGAGGTGAAAACATTGAGCTGGCGTGGAGGGTGAGTTGTCTACTTGTCTGTCTAGAGTTGTGTCCATCAGGTCCAACTTGATATTAACTGAGTCCATAAGTCTAATCAGGTGGTGATTGCTAAAGTATTGATCTCTCTGTATTAAACTGTGTATGGGTGTAATATCTCAAGCTGGTAAAATTGTTGTCTTCCAATAATAGATTATTAAAACCGCGGGATCAATAAATCGAAACCAACACCACTGCCTTCACCACTGCCATGACCAACACCACCACTCCAACAACACCACTGCCACCACTGTCAACACCGCCACCACTGCCAACAGCACCAATGCCAACACCGCTACCACTGCCAACACAGCCACCACTGCCAAAACCATCACCACTGCGTCCACCGCCACCACTGCCAAAACCGCCAACATCACCATCACCACTGCCAACACCACCATCACTGCCAAAACCACCACCACTGCTAACAACACCACTACCACCACTGCCAACACCGCCATCTCTGCCAACAACACCACTGCTAACACCACCACCACTGCCAAAACCATCACCACTGCCGCCACCTCTGCCAAAACTGCCACTACTGCCAACACCATCACCACCACCACTGTCAAAATCACCACCACTGCCAAAACCACCACCACTGCCAGAACCACCACTGCCAACATCACCACCACCACTGCCAAAAACACCACCACTGCCAAAAACACCACCACTGCCAATATCACCGCCCCCCTGCCAAAAACACCACCGCCACCACTGCCAACAACACCACTGCCACCACTGCCAACAACACCACCACTTCCAACACCACCACCACTGCCAACACAGCCACCACCATGCATTTTGCAAAACGCAATGCAACACAACACATGACGGCCAGTGAATTTAATTAGTTAAAATAATGCAAAGGTTTCAGGATGTCTCCGTATATTTCTCAGAGGTCATAAAATATCTTCAACTTCTGCCGTAACCATCATGTCCTTATGAATTTCTTTTTTTTTTACCTCCCGTGAGTCAGGTGTGGATGTGCGGTGGTCAACTCTTACACGTTCCCTGCTCACGGATCGGACACATTGAGAGGTCACAGCCGTACAGTTTTCCCCTGGGGCGCAGAGAGACTGAGATGCACAACTACAAAAGAGCCGTGGACGTTTGGTTAGGAGATTATAAAGTCTATGTTTACAACCTGTTCCCTGGGATGAAGGTCAGTTGTTTGGTTTTTTAACATGCCAAAAAAATATTTTTTAGGAATTTGTTGTAGTGTGAAAATGTCCATACTTTTGGCTTTAGTGAAAGCAAATGTCCATACTTTTGGATATAGTGAAAGCAAATGTCCATACTTTTGGATATAGTGAAAGCAAATGTCCATACTTTTGGATATAGTGAAAGCAATTGAATTTTGCCTGCAAGAATATTTTAATTAATAAATAAGTAAAGTGGTTTATGAAAATTTTAGGAATCCAGTTTGAAACCTGTCATAAGTTTTTACAAGGCATGTATGGCTGTTACCCACCGCAAGGTCTGACAGACTTGAGTTTTGTTGAGATCGTAAGTGGCATTTGTAAGGTTATCTATTTTAAGAACTGTTAAAGCAATTCTTCTCCCTATTTTTTTTATTGATATCACAGTTAAATAACAGCACCTGACACCCGTGCATTAGGCGGCTGTTACTAAAGCATGCAGTACAGCACTTGACACCCGTGTAGTAGGCCCTTGTTACTAAAGCCTGCAATACAGCACTTGATACACATGCAGTAGGCTGTTGTTACTAAAGTATACAGTACAGCACTTGACATGGGTGCTGTTTTAGAGTGTGCTGGAGAATCTTTATTTACTGCCAGTGGGTGCTATGTGGTGCTAAACTGGTTCAATCCCAAGTTTGTGCACTGGAGTTCAAGACCCAGCAAAATCCTAGACAAGCATCACCACCACCAGCATCCCGGGTAGATTGGACTTGTTAACCTTGATTGTTAACTCATCTGTTGACAGAATGAAAATTCAAACAACTTCTGCCATTTGGGATGCATAAAAAGCACAATGAAACACACACAAAAAAAACCACTGGTGGTCATCGAATGCACCCTGTCGTCAAAACTAAGTCTTGTCATTGGATCAAGGAAGTCTGGTCAAGGACCAGGAAGTGAGGGTGATGAATTGAGTAACTCTCCCTTACTTAAAACAAAATACAGCACAACTCAAGGCTACTACTCAAGTCAAGAATATCTTGGCGTGCAATAAACTATAATGATAGTAACAATGCTGCCAGAGAGGAGTCTGCAGTAATTGGATCTGCACTTGGGCAAACTTAAAATATTATCTACATAGCAGAAATAACACTTGGAAGGACAATGTGACTTTGGGTTGCATTCTAGGCTGAAATCAGTTAATTTTTTAAAAACCTTTGTCCCCATTACTTTTCTTGTTTGAAATCTGTATTTATTAGATATTTTTGTTTATCATTTTGTAAAAATTAACAACTGGTCATCAGATTCAAAAACAGATATCTGATTATCGTTTAATGTCCTTTTTAAGGCCAAACTACCAGCACTCCAGTTCATGTCATTCACCTGTCTCCAAAAGAGGATGGTATAATTTTGCTTGAAATGTTTGGTTAGGCTACGGAACCTGGCCAACATTTTTTTAATGGAGAATCAAATGTTTCTCAACCAGCAGATCTACATCTCCATGCAACAGATGAGCGCCAAAGGAAACCCCTGGTGTTACAGGCCAGCTTTTGGAACTTAGTTTTTTTTGCCCCTGTAGTTATCACTGGAATTTTGATTGACTGCCACCGCCTATAGTTTCTGGCTTTTCTAGATTTACCATCTTGGTTGGGCCCTGTTAGGTTAACCAATGCAGCAGATGTTTTATAGTCGGAGCTTTCCATCTCCTAGATGAGCCACCTCACCAGGATGATAACTCCCATCAACTGAATGTGTCTGATGTTGTTTTGTTTTGTGCTACGGCTGAGGATTGAGCACACCTTACAACACGTCCACTTGCTAAACCAGCTGGTTGAATGTCAACATGTGACAGAGCCTTGGATTAGTTGCTAGTTATGTGATTACTGTACACCAAAGCCACCCCTTGGATTAGGGGATTTAATAGCTGAGTGTGCATTGGGTTCCGTTATGTGTTTGGATTAAGTGGGATTTTATGGGTAATGTTTCTGTTTTATTTCTAGCTTCTGGATGTGGGTGATCTGTCAGAGAGGAAAGCCATTCGAGACAAGCTTCAGTGCAAAGACTTCTCTTGGTTTATAAATAACATCTGGCCTGAACTGAACCCTTACAAGGAAGATGCTTTGAAGTGGGGACAGGTAAAAACCTTGTCATGTCTAGTAGTACAACATTGTCTGTGGCCTTAAACTCCACAATAAGTCTTGACAAACATACTTGTCTCAGAGCCTACAAATGATCAGTGCTTTAAATGTTAAAAGGGAAGTTAAAATAAATGTTTGCTGAGTTATAGAACCTTAACTAAAAAGGAATACATTTTTACTACATGAAGGTCGCTAGTTTGACATGAATCTATGAGATTGGGTTTCTCTTCTATTCACGGTTTAAAAATTATTACGATGTTTTATTCTTTTGTTGCAGATTAAATCATTGGAGGGAGACTATTGCTTTGACAATGATGATTACGTCTTCCAAGCCCCCAAACCATTAAAGATCAAACCTTGCACTGGGTATCTCAAAACTCAAGCAAGTGATACAATTTTTTTTATATAAAAGTAGAAAATTTAGGCTAGTGATAAAACATAACCTTAAAAGGAGAGAGAGTAGAACATCAGAAATCAATCCAATATCCTCCAACACTGTATTTCTGCAATGTTAAGAAATTTATCATCCATTGGATTCCAGTCCCACCCTCCCCTCAATCTCTTCAACCATTCACTTTCACCCCCTCCCCCACCCCCCCCCAACCACACAATCACACAATCTCCACATCCCTACCTTCTCCCCCTTTCCTGCCACCTAATTCTCCCCTTTCGACTCTCATGACCCTTAAATTCTTGTATTCTCATTACACCACTTCCCCGTCATAAGCCTAGCTTTAAACCAGTATTTTTTTTCTGCGCGTGTACAAACAGGGGTTCTCTTTGAAGCTGGATGGCCGGCTCCGAACGACCATTCATTGCGTTGTGGCTAAGATAGATGGGGAAGGTCTTGTGGCTCATGTTGAGAACTGCTTCCTGAACCCAAATGAAAAGTGGATGTACAACGAGGTGAGCCACGACTTATTTACTAATAAAAAATTTAACATTTTCACACAGATATATATGGTCAACTATTTTTGCATAGGTTTTTAGTGCTCATGATCCTGAGCTGCCGACTAATGGAGGCAGGAATTTTTGAGAAAATATTTTTAGTCGTCAAACGTAATTTGATGTTATTCTTGGCAACATAATCTCATGAATCAGAGGGCTTAGTAGCAAAATGGACTATTCAACATGCTAAAAAAACTCACTGACTAAGTCTTTCCTCTTTGGACATGTCTCTGTGGCCAAGTGAGTTTATACTTCTTAATTTTCAAGATTTTATAATCAAGTATTAGCCCTCTATTTTGTTTCAGAAATCTGATCAAAATTGTAGCAATTACAATTATCTATAACTTTATATTTTGGTATCCTCTTAAGATCAGTTTAAAAACTGTAATTATAGAAAAAAACGGATGCAAAACGTGTCAATTCTGTTTACTCTTACGATTTTGGCATGCAATGTACGATTTTGAAATGCATTTTTCTATTGTACACCAAACCTGTCAGGACCACGATTTTAACAGACTGGGTAGAAAATATATATCTTCCGATAGTTTTTCCGAATAAAAATAAAAAATAATTAAAAGGAACATTTTCGATGCCCTTGTGACAATTTTAGTCAGTCCGGGGCCATCCTTATAGAATGTACTCACTGAGGGGGGAGGGGGACTTGTCGATTTTTAAGATATTGCCTTATGGGGTGGGGTGGGGGTGGAGGGAGGCTCTGCAGACACTATTCATCATGAAAGTCCAAAACTAGCATATTTATATAAAAAATGCTGTAAGTTTATCATGCATTGTTTTATAGGAATTATTGTATGTCGCTACATATTTCACAAATGAATTCGCTAGATATATTAGATAGTACGAAGGAGTATAGGTATTACAGTAATATTTAGTCCACTGTATGTCCACTGTTTCCAGTCCGTTGTGACGTATATTTTTTTGGGCTAAGCCAGTGGCTCTAATTTTTTTTTTTTTTTCCGGCGCCTATGCCACGTTCAAGTTTTCACCTGGCTGCCTGAATTAAATTCTTACAAGTACACTTTGAAATAGCGATTACATAAACAAAATAAAATAAAGGGTTGGGTAAAAAACAAATAAAATAACATGTATTCATGTATGTAGGTCACCATGAGTCATCTAGCAGCAGTTACTGCAAACAATAGTTACTCGAGTGGGTTACTGTTTGAACCACGTCCACTAAATGTCATATTAAAATAAAAGTGGAAATAAAATTATAAACATTTTACAAATATTTTGCTGTGCCCCTGTGAACAAGCCACAGCAACTCAGCAAAGAGGGGTGGGCACAGTCTTCAAAAAAAGTATGCATGGAAGGAGGGGTAAGGTCGAATTTTTTTTACTAAGGTCGCACTAATTATAGATGGCCCCTCTCGTTTGTTTGCTTCGGCGCTGTATGACGTAATTTTGTGACAAGTATTTCTTACAGTTGAACCACGATGAGTGCAGAAACAGGAAACTATAGAATGCATTCTCAACTGATCCGTGCAGCAACATTAGATTTTGTCATATTTTATAGGATCTGATAAGGCCTTTGAAAATATTTTTGGAACGCAGAAAACAGCTTTATGATTTTTAACACCCCCTCTCTCTCCCTTTCACCCATTTACAGCTTGTGCTAGTTATCAGACTGTAATATCATCATCTACTTTTAGAAGTTACCTTTATTGACGCCAGCTTTACTCGATCCTACTAGTCACGCGATGCGAGTAGTTATTCTATGTTGTACACATTATATATATTTTATTTTTATTTATATACTATTAAGATACTGTACTGTATGATTTTGAGACGATATTGTACGATCTTAGGAGTTCGAGGGTAAACAGGTCTGACGTGTACTTCTTATTAAAGTTTAGTTTTGATTCCAAGAAGACACCATGTCTGAAAAAAAGTGGCAGAAAGTTGTGTTAAGCATTCGTTCAAAATACAGAGGGGCGACACATTTTTAAAAAAATGCATTAATTTGTGTGTGATCCATCAACTATTAGAGCACTAAAGGATCGGTTTATTTCTCTTCCAGAATCAGCAGTTTGTCCATGGGGTCTATGGCTCTTGCCTGGAAATGTTGTCTCAAGGTATTGTAGTTCTAAGTCCATGTAATGCGACTCGTGTGTCACAGAAGTGGGTGTTCAAGTCTGAAGGTTTATTGGAGGTAAACAACTAGACCAGTCAACCACAACAAACAGTCAGACCTCAAGTGCACAAACCTTACTGTCATAATCATTGTTGCCTTACTTTTTTTTTAGGTAATGACTTATCTGTCTCAATTCAAAGATGTTGTGAGATGTTTTTTTTAAAGAAATCTATGATGGTTCTCAAGCCAGTGATTTAATCTAGGATGCATCTCAAACTGTGATTTAATCAATGATGGTTTTGCATATTAGTAATTAGAAGTGCAAGATTTAGTAGTGTGACTACCAACCTTGAGTTGATGTGGACATTTGGTAAATCTTATTATATTTCTACTGCTAGTTTATTTTAACTTGCTTAATTGACTCTTCACTCGGGCTTTTTGTTGTTGTTGTAAACTTCAAAGTCCTTATGAACTCCAACATTTGAAAGATATCTACAAGTTAAAATAGATGTCATTATAATTAGTTACTGGAGAATTTTCAAATTGAATTGCTGTGAATAAGAATGCCTTGAGAAGCCACCATTCATTGCAGCTATGACACCATTAATTGCAGCTATGCCACCATTTATTGCAGCTGTGACACCATTCATTGCAGCGAAGCCACCATTTATTGCAGCTGTGACACCATTCATTGCAGCTATGACATAGATGTGACTGGATGTTTGAGTGCAATTTTTAAATGAATGAATGAAATACAGGAATACAATCTATACACAGGCCTAAAAGTACATGAGTGATTAGAGATTTTAACTATCCTCCAGGGCTTTAAAACTGGTGAGCAGTGCAAATAATTTTATGAATAACACCTATTTAAAAATAGAGTGTAACAACATAATTTTTTAAAATTTAAACACTATAATAATTTTGTTTATGATATGAAATTCAGAATCATGATACAATAATTAATGGCCAAGGAAAGAACAAAATAACAAAGTCACAGCATCAAAAGTAGATATGTGCTTGTAGATAAGTATGCCATTGAACAAGACAGCACCAACATTGGATATGTGCTTGTAGATAAGTGTACCATGGAACAAGACAGCACCAACATATGATATGTGCCTGTCGAACAAGTATAACAATCAACAAGACAGCACCAACATTTTGATATTCCCTTGTTGTATAACTGAAGGGACAAACATGAAAGAGAATGATACATTTGGGCCAGGTAAACATGTACTAAATTAATTGCCAAAATGGAGTAATCATTTTAATTTTTTTTAAATATGTTATTTTAAAACGTTGATGTTCAAATGGTTAACCTTTGCCGTGAGCTGAGTCTTTGTTGAATCTTGAATGGAGATGTATTAATATATTATGCAGATCTAAACTAGTCCTCTGTGGCTATGGAAGTTTATGATTTCCCCAAGCTGTGTGATGTGTAATGGATTCTTATGCCGATAAACTTTTTATTTGACATTGTTCTCTGTTAGGGACGCCAAGTTTTTTGGCCTAGGCATAAGATGATTTGAGGATGAATCGTCTCACTTTTCTCTCACTGTAAATGTGGGATGCTCAGACTAGTTAGTTTCACTGCACTTTCTATAGTCAAAGGCGGTCTCACTAGGATTCTGATCTATCTGTCTGTGATTGTGCCATCCATCTTCTCACAACCTTGTCTGTGACTGCTATCCATCTTCTGGCTACTTTTTCTATGACTGCTATCCATCTTCTGTCAACCTCGTCTATGACTGCTATCCATCTTCTGATAACCTTGTATATGACTGCTATCCATCTTTTGACCACCTTGTCTATGACGCCTATCCATCTTCTGATTACCTTATCTATGACTGCTATCCATCTTCTGACTACCTTACCTATGACTGCTGTCCATCTTCTAACAACCTTGTCTATGACTGCTATCCATCTTCTAACTGCCTTCTCTATGACTGCTGTCCATCCTCTGACTATCTTGTCTTTGACTGCTAACCATCTTCTGACTACCTTATCTATGTCTGCTATCCATCTTCCATCTTCTGACAACCTTGTCAATGATTGTGCCAACCACCATCTTCTTAGTACCTTGACTATGACTGCGCCAGCCTCCATCTTCTGAGTAACTCAATGACATAGTTCTTCTTTTCTCTTTAACTTTTCATTTGAAAACTTGTACACTTGTATTGCATGTGCAAGAATTATAAAATTTAAATTTTCCATGAAAATTTAATATTTTAAAATGATCTGCGCTATGTTTTGATTTTACCATAACATAATTTTGCCACATTTTATTTGATAACATATCTGTCATAGCTGAGCATATATTCAGATGCTTATTTTTTATTTAATTATTTTTGCCTTTTTTTTTTCTGCATTTAAAATATTTTCATCAGAGCAATAATTTATAAATAATTTAAGAGACAAGTTATAATAAAATGAGAATATTTGTATGAGAGATGGGACAGTAGCACCAATTTCTTATATGGATACTTTCAATATTTTTAGCGTAGTAATAACTCTAAATAGTGGCCTGTTTACAGTAGATTTATTTCTTTTTGCCTCAGCTTAGGTCTCTGTAAACATGTGATAACAAATTTCTTCATCTCCCACATGTTATTAGATCTAAAAAAAAAAAATGTTATGTTAATAGATCTAAAAAATGTTAAGTTTCTGGTCGGTTGGAACCATAAATTATAAATGTTCCATTTCATTTTTTCTACGGGAAAACAAAAAATTTTAAGTGAATGATGCATCCATCTAAATCACTCTCTAGTGTCACTCCTTGAAATAGTTTAATTATGACAAGTACTGGCTGATAGTGATAGATTTTGTTATTTCAGAGAAAGTTTAAACTTCATTTTTTTGCTTGTTTCAAGAGATCTTTACTTGAAAGGGAACAATTGCTGACATTTACTCCTTATTTTGATTGACGGGTTACAAAGCTGTTTTTTTTAAAAGTTTTTGTTAAATCCTACCAGAGATCCTTATTTGCTTAATCCTTTCCAAAATCCTAATTTTTAAAAAAAACTTGTATTCAAGTTTTGCACATTTACTCTGTCTGAATGCTGTTGACATGCACTGGGATTGCAGCCTTGTAAGCCACTGGTTCATGTTGACAAGTCTTACAAAATTAAGTTTATATGATTCTAGTTGGCAGCCAAATGTTATTAAGTGTCTGGCATCATGTCCATCCTTATCACGGTTACCATTTGCCAGATGTACTTAGATGACTTCATCCAGCCATTTGTTTTTTTTATTTCTAATCTTTCTGTTATAATTAATATAATAATAATTATCATGACCGTTCTACATTAGGTACCATTTTACTCCATAAAATTAATATAATAATAATTATCATGACCGTTCCACATTTGGTACCATTTTACTTCATAATTGTATCACTTTATGCGGCTAATCATCAAAAGTAACGACTAAAACTCAATTTTTAAAAAATAATGCAATACCCAACCACCACAACCCCANCGTAATTAAAATCCAACTGTCTATAGGAACAGGTAATTTTCTGCATATTTTTATTGTTTAATGTTATAACTGGGCCTACAAACTAAAATAGTTTTCATCATCCCTAATGGCTCCATCACCACATACTATTTTACTCCCAATTACGCAAATGAAAGCGAAACGAAGTTAACTGAAGAAATGTTCAAACATTTCCTTTGGAATAAGTTACCTTAGCGTATTTAAAAATTAACATAAGAAAATAATAATTTGTACTTTGTGATACAAAATTTTTAAAACTTTTTAAGCTATTAATTTTAAACCAACTCCATTTTTTTCCCCCGGATGTTTTCAAAGCAAGCTTCTTTTTAATGATAACTGAATTGACATCAGTCAATTTTTCTAAACATCATTTGAACTCAAGCACCAACAAGTAACAGTAAAGATTAGTTTTTGATTATAAATTTTAACGTTAATAAATGTTTGGGGAAAACATGAATGTAGGAGCATTAAAATACACATTTGGTCAGTGTCACGTGACATATTCCGAAACCACAGTGCAGTGTTGATTTTGGTATTGATATAACTTTTTCATCTATAAAAATAAACAAAGCTATACAAAACGGCATAAGGCAACAATATAAATAATGATCCATGACATAGGGCTTATATATATATATATATATATATATATATATAAATATATATATATATATATATATATATGAAAATAACAGTTTTAGGCAGATGTAGATTGCGAGGTAAGTCTATATAGAATTTTCAGGGATAGTGGGCAGCACACTGTGTAATAAAAATAAACAAAACTATACAAAACGACATAAGACAACAATATATAAAATGATACATAACATAGGGCTTATATATATATATATATATATATATATATAAATATATATATATATATATATATATATGAAAATAACAGTTTTAGGCAGATGTAGATTGCCAGGTAAGCCTATGTAGAATTTTCAGGGATAGTTGGCAGCCCACTGTGTAATGAAATAACCCGTATTCATTGACAAAATGTTTATCAGAGGATTAAGATTTTAGTCGTGGGTTAGAACTGCAAACAATTTGTAGGCCTACACGTTTAATGTACATCTATTTTACTGCTGCTAGTCTAAAAAACACACAACGATCTGCATTCATTCAAAAAGAGAAACTACTTTCTAAATGATGTGTCGAGATTAAGTTGTGAAGCTCCTCGTATGTGACGGAGCTGCTTGTGCCATTTTTTTTTTTAGTTTTTAGTGAAAATTTTCACAATCATCTTCCAAGTATTTTACCTTTTTTTCCCCTGACACTTAAATATTTGTTTGTTTTAAACTTATGGAAGTACTCATTTTGTAGATGTAATTTACTGATGTTAAATTATGCTAAAATTTATATCTGGTAGCTTTGGGAAATATAACAGTATCTGGGGCCCTATATTATTACAACCTTAAATTAATGTATTTTATTCACATCCAGTACTTTGAAGAGTCCACAATATGATAGTATTTTAATGAACATTTATTTCAGAAAACACTGAAAATACTTTGTGCTCAGTTTGTTAACTTACCCTGCTAATGGTGCGATATCTTGATAAACCTCCCATGCACTAAACATTTATGTAATACTGCTAGCAAAAAGGCTTAAAAATTAAGTTTCATTAGGCGTAATAAAGCTTATATAATAATATAAACTTGATTTGTGAATACTCTATGACTCCGCATGGTGAGTTAACACAGTGCCAGGGCTTCTGGGAGGGTCATGGCATTCCTTCAAACAAAAGATACTTTTGTATCCAAGTCAAAAAATAAATTCCCTGAGTGTCTTGTTTCTAAACAGGTAGATCTGAAGCTTTTATTGTTTATCACGGCATTGCTGCTACTGCTATACATGAAATTAAGGATTAAAGTGGGGGGGGGGGGGGGTAGAGTGAGTGTGAAGAGCATCGTATTTAAGGCAAATATGATAACTTGAATTATTTCTAAATTTTGGAAAGCTGTAACCACAGATGATGTAGCCATGTTATAATTTTTATTTTGATCATCAGTGTGAACTATTTTGTGTATATAACATTATTGTTTTATTGCAGTTCACGATTAAGGCTTAATTTGTATATATCGATGAGATGTATCCTAACATATCAAAGTATTTATCATTATTTATTGTGAAATCCTAAATATCTAGAAAGCTCCCTTGTTATAGTAACAAATATTTGATCCATAAATCCAAATGTCATGCACTTGTTTGCATTTTTCTCTGTCACATTCACATCTTTGTGTGGACATTTTTGTTCAAATCTCAGAATGTGAAGCTTTATCTTTAATGACATGCACAACTTTGAATTCCGATATATTCACTAGATAGTTTAAAAAAAATAATCTTAAGCAATTTTAATATTGCTTTCTTACCAAAATTGAAAGAGAGAAAAAATCCCAAGCATCTCTGGCAGAAGTTGTGATGTGCCAGATAGTGAAGGGATATTTTATTTCTGTGTAATTGATTTGTTTTCTTATTTTATCATGTGTTCCAAATCAAAATCCTTGATGGTGTTCAAATATGGTTCTTACCAAAGTGAATTATTCATGCTTGTCACTTTTTGTTAATCAGAAAGAAAAAAAACCTAAATAAAGTTATTAAACTGAGGCTTTCAATTCGGAGTCTGTTAGAGGCAGCAATCCACATTAATGCAAGACAATGATTGTGTCAAGTTTTGTAAAGTTGTTGTTTTTTTGTTTGCAGAAATGTGAAATTGCCACATCATGGAAACTGGTGGTGTAAAATTTAGATGTGAACACATTTTATGAATTTAAGAACCACTTTTCTCAATCATGAACCTCTTTGCTTGTATTTTGAACATCTCCTATTTTCTCTTTGAAGTACAGCTTATCAAAAAAGTTCAAGTCATTTGTAAGTGAACCTATGTGGCACTATTTGCTGTCCAGGGTCCGAACTACTCTATTCTAATCAGTATTTACATTATATCCAAACAGAGTTTGCTGCTTTTGACCATTTTGCATTAATATTTTCATGAGAAAGCTTAACTTAAATGGCTTAAAACTATATAACTTATATTTCTTTTTATTGAATGTGTACTACTATTGTCCTTGATGCAGCAGAGCCTAATTGAAATTCGACTGAGTTTCAAGAAATATGAAACATTAAAGACAAACTATTTCAAAGGAATTGAATGAATTTCAACAAGAATTGAGACTGTACACAAGATCATACATGAAAGAATTGAGACTGTACACAAGATCATACATGAAAGAATTGAGACTGTACACAAGATCATACATGAAAGAATTGAGACTGTACACAAGATCATACATGAAAGAATTGAGACTGTACACAAGATCATACATGAACTAAAAACTCATGGATTTTCTTCAATGAATATGTCAGCAGCGTGATTAGAGGTGGGGGGAAGGGGGTGTCTTAAAGTTCTTAAAGTGCTGCAATCAAATTTTAATCAAAAGTTTTGAACTATGAATAAAATATATTAAAAAAATAAAATATTTGACTGTTAATCCAAATCTGACTTAAACATAAAAATAGACTTCTAATAAAAAAAATATTTAGTTTAAGCTAAAATCCTTTTTTTTTTTTTTTTTTTTTTTTTATTTGTTGTTTTTTTTTTTTTTTTTTTTTTTTTCAAATGGATGTGTTTTATTCTTGCTGTTTTAAGTGAAATTATTTATTTTTGTATTGTCAAATCCATGTCATTAGATCCTTTAACAAATTATGATCTCAAAATGATGCAAACGATTAACTTTAAAGTCTGCTGCTGCTGTGAGTAGACTGGAAACTGCTGATACTTTATTGCATGCATGCAAATGATCACAGATAAGTGAAGACAAATGACAATATATTATGAAGTAAAATAAACAAATTATGTACCTTGACATGAAGTAAATAAGTGGGTCCATAAAACCATCTAAATAAGTGGGTCCATACAACCATCGTTGGAGATCAATTATAACAGAAAATCCTGTACAGCCATTGATCTATATAAACAAGGACAATGATGTTTATTCGGCCTCCGGATGTATCAGAATTTCTTACGGTCATTTTCATCACTATTCAATAGCCTTTTGGGATGATATGTTCATCTTTTTTATTTGGAACCTAATTTGGGATTCTTGTTTATGACTCAAAGAGCAAAAGTCAAGTATTTTCTTTTTTAGTTAAGGTTATAAATTTATTTAAACCTTTTTGTCAGTAAGACAACATAACTACTAAAATCACAAGTGGACCTACAATTCAAAATTCATTTTGAATGAATTCTGAGATAGATTTACCTTTGGAGTAGATAGTTATTTTTTTGTGTGATGATTGTGATCGATTTGGTTTTTAAACAAATATGAAATCCATTTTTCTACGGTATCAGTACGGTATACAAAACAAACACAATGTGATTTTTTGGAAATTCATGTTTTCTTGGCACTTTAATTACTTTTCCCAATGAATGATCTGGGTAGAGTTTAGAATTCCTTTCCCCAATGAATGATCTGGGTAGAGTTTATTGTGAATCTTAATTGTTTGTTTTAGTTAATGAAAGATTAAAATGATTTTGATTTGAGGTTTACATTGCGTTATGTGATTTTAAAAAATCTTTTTGTCATGTGATGTTTACCATTGTGTTATACGATATTTGCTATTGTGTATGTGTGATGTTACATGTACAGAGAAATAGAGCACAGTGAAACCTGTGAATAGTACAAGCCCTTGGGATCAAAGCAAAAGGGGTTTAAAAAAAATCCAGGGGTGGTGCTATTTGCAGGTTTTGCCAGAAGGATGATCATGCAAAATAATTTGAAAGAATAAGACATTTTCACATTGAACATAAAGAGAAATGAGAAAAGAAAAAGAAAGTGCATACATTTTATATTTATGTGTAATAACAATTATGCAACTAAGCCAGATTTTATTGTGCTCAAACATTCTTCATGCAGTCCCTTAACATCAAAATGTACATGTGCAGTATTTTACAAATCTTTTTATGAACACTCAAACATAAATTAGGTGTGCATTTACACTAAAACAAGATAAATTACACACAAAAGAAGTCCTTGATACTTGTTTGTTTTGCCTTAGCCTTAGAAGTCTCTTGCATACAAATGTCTTCAATAGAACTCACCATCTTCATCGCTGTTGATTTCAGATCTACATTCCCCTTTACATTTGCAAATCGGAGAAGCTTTTTTGCTTGCTCAAGGGCTTCTTTTGATGTTAACACTTGCCCTGCATCATCCACTGCATCTTCCTCCTCCTCTGCTTCATGTTTTACAACAGCCACAGTGGGGCTGGTAGAATCTATTGACATGGTGGCCGCAGCATCAGCCGTCCCGGCATGGTCTTGCGACGTGGCACTTTCCAGCAGCTGGTGGTGTGGCTGGTCCGGTGGTGGTGGGGACCCCTCTTCCTGACTTGGGCTGCTGCGGGAATCCACCAAACTACAGTGGGCAAAACACCCGACGCACGTGGACGCCTTCACACCAGTGGTCCAGGCTACAGTGAGCCAACCAATCGCATCAAGGAGGGTGATGGATTTGGCCTGTTGGGATGCTGCACTTGCCTCCTCCACGCCTGCCAACAGATGAAGCAACATGTGTTTCTTATAGAGGGCCTTGAATGTGGTAATGACTCCACTTTCCAGGGGGTGGAGCTTTGATGTCGGGTTGGGAGGCAGGTATTGGAGATTTATGTTTGAAAGCTCCATGTGTGGGTGTGCTGTACAGTTGTCAAGCAGGAGCAAGATGTCGCGCCCCTCGGCTCTCATCCTGTCGTTGAGCTTCTGCAGCCAGGATGTGAAGATGGTCGTGGTCATCCAGCTGTTTTTGTTGCCCTCATAATCAACTCCGAGGCTGCTTTTCTCTACATTTTTGAAACACCTGGGGTTCTCTGTTCTGCCAATCACCAGTGGTTTCAATTTCTCGCCTGCGGCGGAACATGCCAGGAGAACTGTCATTCTCTCTTTAGTCGTCTTGATCCCCTTCTTTGAGTCGTCCTTTTCTACCATCGAAGTCTTTGCTAGAGACCTGTAGTACATCACAGTTTCAACAGCATTGAAAATGTCCACCTGTGCATAACCTTTGCAGATGTCAGGCAGCTTGACCAAGTCATCAACTGCAGCATGGGCCACACCAGCTGACTCCCCTTAAACACAAAACAAAAATAAAATGTTCAAAAATGATTTGTGCCAGAAATCGAATCAGTAAGAGAAAAAAAAAAGTGGGGAGGGCGGGGGGGGGGGGGGGGAAAAAAAAAAAAGGAAAAAAAAAAAGGGGGGGGGGGGGGGGGGGGGGGGGGGATCAAGAAAAGAATGGATAAAACAAAAACACTAACCACAACGAACATCAGATTTGACGTTGTACAATCTCTGCCAAGATTCCAGCCATCCGTTCGAAGCTTTGAAGTCGTCAAGGGAAAGCTCCTTCGCCAGCTGCACGCCCTTTTCCTGTTTTACACGCACACAAAATTCAGTTTAGAGTCGGCACCATGAAGCAGAATAGTCTAAAAATTAAAATAAAACGTAGGCCCAACAGCCTTTTGAGCTTGCGCTTTACAAACTGTAATTTAAATCTGAAATTCGAACAGGAAATTGCTACCTACCTGGATTCGCTTCCCAGTGATAGCGATTGGGAACTGACTCGCTCGTTTCTCACAGTACCAGTGAAAAACTTTGGAGTTGAGCTCCTCGTAGTTGGACTTTCTTTTCTTGACGTGTTTCCGGTCAGCGCGTCCACCTTCCTCCCATAATTTTAAAACCTCCTCCCGTTTTCTTTTGATTTGGCTGATTTGAGTCATTCCGCAATTAAACTGTTCTGCCACTTGCTTCAGCGTCCACCCGGCATCGATCTTTTGCAAAGCTTCCATTCGTTGTTCAAGTGTGAGAGGTTTTCGTTTCGTCGCCATTTTGATCGTATTGGTTTCACTATGCGTTGCCAAAATTTACACGCGATTCCTTCACGACCCTGTCTCGCAGCACTAGAAATTTTCTGACAACATGGCATTTCATCCTCGCTTAGATATAATACTACACAGCGCGGTAGCAGACTGATCAGCGAAACAAAAGATCTAAGTCACGCCCTGTCATAGAGCCTCTGCTTTGCGTAAGTCGGCGCCAGCGCGGCGTGTTATTCGCAGGGGGAAACACACAGCGCGGCAGCAGACTGATTAGCGTGCAAAAGATCTAGTCCTCTACGTCACGCACTGTGCTTGGCGTAGTTCGGCACCAGCACGACATGGCGTGTAACGTGTTATTCGCAGGGGATCCCACGATTTTGACCTCACCAACCCTTGCGCATTTCGCACAGAATTTGTGCTACTTCCAGAAAGAGGGGGAGGGCGGGTGTTTAAAAATCGATACGCGCCTGGTAGTGAATTATTGCTTCACCAAGGACAGCGCTATTTCAAGGTTATATTGTTATTTAGACTATTATATAGTGAATGGTTTTCGGCGAAATCAAAGGCGTCTTCACTTCTCGCTGATTGATTGCGATATTTTTTAGATATTATAATTAGTGGAGACCTCATCGTAACTAGTCGTAGTATTAAGTTATGAAGTAATATAAAAGTAAATTTGTTTTTACTCAGCAAAATGAGAAGGCTACGAAGGAGATCTCACATTAGTCAATTATCTATTTTATTTATATGAGTTTATTATTTTCCTATTAACTGAGGGAAGTTCGGTCTCCCACTACCTACAGCCTTTATAATTATTTATATCTAAAGTGGGCTGAAAATCTCCGGGAAAGTATGTTACGGAGGTATTAATTTCACAATTTTGATTGGCTAACAAAAGCTATGACGTTTACTGCAGGAAGTCAGTGGGTAGGATAGTACTAAAAGAATTGTGTCAACTTCACAGTAGTGGTTGGTAAACAAACATATTTGTTGTTGGTTCTCTTTCGTGTACCTCTGGAATTATTAAAAACTTCGTAACAAAACTTCAATAGCCTTCAATATGCCGGAAAATCAAGAAAATACTAGCAATAAAACATTTAAGCAACGGAAAACCTTTGGTATGTTGAGCCTTTAATAAGTGATTTGTGTTTGTGTTGTTGAACGATTCAACCGGAGGCTGAGTGACTCTGAGTCAGTCAGTATGATGGTCATGGAACTACTACTTCAGTTTAGTTGCACACATTGCGTGATTCTCAGAGTTGTCAGAGTCTTATCATTACTACACATATCTTTCTATTTTAAGAAGTTTTTAGACTTAAACTTAAAGTTAACTCGGTAAATTCAGAGAACGCGGCCCGCGTTTATTTCCATGCGCGCACTTTTACGTCTTAAATCGATCCCTATACTCACTATACTATGCCATAACCGTAACCTGAACCCTAAATCGATCCCTATGCCTAACCCGAACCCTAAATCTATCCCCAAGCCTAACCCGAACCCTAAATCAATCCCTATACTATACTATGCCTAACCTTAACAAAGTCAACGAACAGCTGTTAAAGTTAAGGGGTTAAGGTAACTCAACTTTACTATTTAAATTTTCAGAAAGTGCGGCCTACAAATATAAATAATTTATTATAATATAATAAATAAATACAGCGGAACCTCTCATAACGAGTTTAATTCGTTCCAGACTCTTACTCGTTAAGCGCGTAAATGAAACAATTTTTTCCATACAAATCAATGTAAAATGCGATAATGCATTCCATGCTGAAAAAATACTAATTTAAAAAAAATTTTTTTTAACATTTATTCAAATAAAATCACTTATGAATTGTTAAGGAGTGTAACAACTTGGAATACAATTTAGATTTGAAACAAAAAACGTAAATAAAAATAAAAATATGAATTTATGACAAATAATTAATCCGCCCTGGGTGCCAACCTTAAGAGGGTACCAAAACTTGATTATTGAATCTGAACCAGTTTGCTTGGGAGCTGACCATTCGACTGGAATTTAAGAATTTAAAAAAAATCATTTTCAGACCCACTTTGGGGGGGGGGGGCAGAAACAGTTTTGATGAATTTTTCCAGGAATTTCTTGCTTTTCAGTCTCAAATGCTCCAGAGTTGACTCTGATGACCATCCTGTACCAAAACTTGATTATTGAATCTGAACCAGTTTGCTTGGGAGCTGACCATTCGACTGGAATTTAAGAATTTAAAAAAAATCATTTTCAGACCCACTTTGGGGGGGGGGGGGGCAGAAACAGTTTTGATGAATTTTTCCAGGAATTTCTTGCTTTTCAGTCTCAAATGCTCCAGAGTTGACTCTGATGACCATCCATGCCAGACCAAAATGCCAGAAAAACGGAAATTCCATGGGAAAGTGGTCTGTTTCCATTCCCCAGGTTTGGTCCGAGAATGATTTTTAAAATAATTCCTGTTGATGGCTCACAAGCCAACCTGTTCAACTGGCAAAGTTTTCTGGAATCTGATGCTAGAATTTGATCCTGCATCTTTGGAAACCTCAAGGAGCCAAATTTCGTCACAGCACCAATATTTCATCTTGAAATTTAATTCTTAAAAATTAAATATGTTAAAATAATAGGGACCATTTGGAGGTAAAATTAAATTCACTAAAACAATACTTAATCTGCGTAGGCTTTTTAAACTAGCTAATTTAATAGGACATTACGTTCACTTTTACAATCAACTAAATAGACCAACTGGCCTATGACTAATTATCATAATTTGCAAGAAAGCCACACAAAAAAAAATTGAGGTGGGGGGGGGGGTTAGTTAATATTTTGTTAGGTTGCTTAGTTGAGCAGTGCTTCAACAACAAAGATATTCAGCTATGAACATCTATTGCAACTGATGGAGCATGATTAATGTCAGTTAACTTTTTTTAATATTTCATGTGTCTTACTCAATTATTGTGCTATTCAGCTCCAACATCTGGCTGCTGAAATTACTTAATAAAATATAATAAAATAAATGGTCAAGTGAGTTAAATTTAAGCCCACTCTTTCAGTGATTGACAATTCTGCAAACTCTTATGTTGAGAATCATGTTGAGATTTTTGGTAAACACAACTGCTTCACTTGGTACTGATGAGACTAAGACATTTAAAACCAGACAGTGAAAACTGTTATCCCTTTACCAAGCCCTTACATTGCATTAAAAATAATTGACCATTGAAAACGTCAGATATCTAAAATTCTTTAAAAAGTGTAAGTATTGCATGATCAAATTAATCAGCTATTTATTGAATTAATGCAAGTAAAAAAAGGTTCATTGGGTTTACATTAAATTCTTTTTTATTATATATGACACTTGTATATTTGTGTTATTATATTCCATCATGTATACTTTTACTTAGAGAATTCTTATATAGGGATAAGAAACAGGGCACTAGGCATGAGTATATTACTTTGAGGTTAGAGGGGACCAGCAGAAAATTAAAAAAAAAACAAAAAAAACACTTAGCTAGATAATGAATCCAAACAGATATCAGGCAATATTTTACACACACAAAGAAAGGAAAATAATAGAATGTTTATTAAAGCATTTGACTGTCCACAATTGTTCTACCTACTGGGAGGTTTCCATAGATGGAAAAAAATTCCCTGGGAGACAAAGTGTTTAGTTAGAATAGTCGGCAGTATGAAATTATTTTGTATTGAAAAATAAAGTTAAAAAGTAGATATTCTTTATTAACCCTTATTACTCCTCCATATTTAAAATCGATTGTTGAGAGGGGAGGAGCGGTAATTAAGAGTGGCAGTCCATTTATTATATTTAAGTTCATGTGATGATTTATAAGTGATGAGAAGGTGGAAATAAGCTGTGTGCAATGATAGATATCTAGATGAAGTTTAAGGATTGAATTAGTTTTAAATTCTTATGACCTGGCCTAAACAAAAACTTGACTGCCAAAAGCAAGGTTTTCATGTGAAGATTAGTTCATTGTTATATTTACTGGCTATAATCTGTATACTTTGACTTACTTTGTTCACTTGGCTAAATATAAATTTGATGTTGCATGTTGCACAGGCAGTCAGGCCATTATGGTCTGCAGGATAACTTTTGTTATCACTATTCACAAGCAGATATGTTTGTTTTTTTTACCCACCAGTCAAATACTTAGGCCCTGATTATAGTTCTGAAGAAAAAAATCCTATAGGACCTAATCTGGCACACCACCTACTTACTCCTTAGCCCTCATTTACCATGGTTACATAATAATGATTTGATTCTTGAGGAAAATATAATGAAAATTTAACAATTCCATCAAAGGGTAAAGGTGAATTACTTCTCTTATGGGTCACAAAATGGATTCACTGGGCTGTGCGTAGTTCACATTCAAAAGTAAATAAATAGTGGAACAAGACATGTTTAGGCTTGAAAAGAAAAGACAGGACGATTAAACGGACATTTCAGCCTGATGCCTTCTTCAGATGGACAAGACAAAACAAGAAGCAACAGATCCTTTAAATTAATAATAGACATGAAAAGGCATGTTTCCTTTATGTGCCATCTTTTCTTGTCAAGACCTGAACAAATCTTGTTCTGCATTGTCTGCTGGAAGGGGCATCTAGTCAAAACATTTGTTTAACTGTCCCATCTTTTCTTGTCAAGACCTGAACAAATCTTGTTCTGCATTGTCTGCTGGAAGGGGCATCTAGTCAAAACATTAGTTTAACTGTCCCATCTTTTCTTGTCAAGGCCTGATCAAGTCTTGTTCTGCATTGTCTGCTGGAAGGGGCATCTAGTCAAAACATTTGTTTAACTGTCCCATCTTTTCTTGTCAAGGCCTGATCAAGTCTTGCTCCACTACTTATTAACTTCACACTGCTTGAAGGCAGGGCCCCATTGTTGTTGCATTGAAAAACAAATCAGTCACATGCAAGCTGAGACAAGCCATTTTGAAGGCGGTAAAAAAAAAGGCTATTATTTGGCATCAAATAAAATTTAAGTGGTACAAATATATGGGGAAAGTGCACAACGATGCATAATAATAAGAAGGGTAGGGGGAACCACTTTAGTTAGATCTGCCCCAAACAAATCTCTGCACAGCCTCGAATGAGAAGGAGAGGGGGGGCACCTCTTTAGATCTGCACCAAACAATTCTCTGCATAGCCTCTGAACTTTATATAAACCAAGTTTCAAGGCTGGGCAAAATTTGGGTGTTTTGTTTTATTCATGTTATAAATTATTTTTGGCTTTTTCTTCCCCATAATTTTTTTTATCAGCGGTGAGGAAAGAGGAAGTTGAAGGGATACGACAGAAATTTCCTAACAAAGTGCCGGTAAGGCTGCTAGCATAATGTAACAACTGTTTTAAAGCAAAATTTAAAGTGGTGGGGGGAGTGTTGTATCTTTGGTTTTAATTTGTATTGAGTGGGACTGTACTGTATCTTCTTTCAGAACTAAATGTAGATGAAGTAGACACAAGGCTAGTGATAGCAAAAATAGTTTTATTTTAATCAAGAGATTAACGACCAGCCAGTTTACAAGTCTAATTTAGTGGCTACCATTACCAGCTAATGATTTACAAGATTGATTTAGTGGCTACCATTAGAACTAATGATTTACAAGGTTAATTCAGTGGCTACCATTACCAACTTATGATCTACAATGTTAATTTAGTAGCTACCATTACCAACTAATGATTTACAAGGTCTATTCAGTGGCTACTATTACCAACTAATTATTTACAATGTTACTTTAGTAGCTACCATTACTAACTAATTATTTGCAAGGTTAATTTAATGGCTACCATCTCACATTTTTAAATCCATCTATTCAGGTTATAGTAGAAAGATTCCACAAAGAGACAACACTACCTGTTTTAGACAAGACCAAATTTTTAGTCCCGCAGGAGCTGACCATGTCTCAGTTTCTCACCATCATCAGGTCAAATTTTGTTTATTTCAACTTTTGTTGGCTCTCGCTGTTTGTATCAAAGAATGAACTGGTCTTTTTCATGAATGTCTGAGGCTGTGATGTATGCATCACAAACACTCATCATGTGATATGTGAATCTACTAGGTTGTCAGGCTATGGGATGTCATCAACAATTTTATATATTTTCATTACGGAGGATTTTGATTGCTGTAGTAATGAATATACATGAAAACTTTTGTTGTAGTTTTGTACATAATTATAATTAACACTTCCTTCCTGTTTGATTTGAATTATTTACTTTACAGAATAAGACTGTCGTGGGGTGTCTTATAGAGTACTTATGAAATTAAATTGACATCTGATTAAAAGAAATAAATGTTTAGGGAACATGAAGAAATTTATAATTTATTCAAATTTATTATTCTCCTCTTCAGGAATCGAATGTCTCTCAATTCGAACCAGTCATTTTATCTGATTTTAAACAACAAGAGCATATCCAGCATGTCCTCAACTATAGCCGAGGTCTACAGGGACGAGAAGGATGACGATGGCTTCCTTTATATGACCTATGCTTCACAGGAGATGTTTGGCTCATCCAACTGACAGATTCTGTAGGGTACGAGAACAGACATTGGAAGACTATGATTAATTAAACCACCAAGTCTAAGCTCTAATTCATGTCAAAATATGCACAAGAGCCAAGGGGCTTATATTTTAAAATATATATTTAATTAAAAATTAATTTACATTAATTCATGATCTAACTTTGAATGACACTGTTATTTAAATATCAGAATTTAAACCACCTTAAATTTGAAATTGACTAAATATATTTAAGTAATCATAGATGCAAATCACTGGAAAAGAAGCATGTTTTTTTTTAAATATTTTACTTTGATTTTTATGAGTAGTTATAAGCCAGATAATGTATTGAAAATTCAAGGAAGAGCAGACAAACACAGATTTATAAAAGGTATTTAAATTAATCATTAATACTGGTACCAATAATGATAAGTTAATGAGGAGGGGAGGGTTGTAGTGAGTGGTAAATGAAGGTTTAGCAGCCAAATTATAAAATTAGTTTAGATTATTCAGCGTATGTTTCAGAAGTACTTACAAAATAAGCCACTATAAAATTGGTCAGGGAAAAAAATTCAATAATTTTGATTAATAGTTACAATAAGGGATTAAAAAGGTATCACGGCGGTCCTATGGAATGGTGAGTCAAACTGTTATGACTATAAATGTGTTGTTGAATCAATAATGTGCCTTATTTAAACCACTGGCATGTGCCGCCATGGAGTTGTGTCTTATTTAAGTCATGGACATGTGCTGCCATAGAGGTGTGTCTTATTAGAGCCACAAGTGTTCTGTGTGCAAGGGAACTGAAAGTTTTAAATCAGTGTTTTCATGATCAGAAATAGCAATATATAACTTGTCTCAACTTTCATAAATTTTGCTTTTTTTTGCTTTTTTCATATTCCATGTTTCTGATCGGCTGACAGAATTCGCTTGAAATTATATCTTTCATGATACAAACTGCTGACTTAAAATATACCCAGAAAACAAAAAGATGCTTTGATATATCTTTATCTGCTTCCTTAAATAGATTTGATCTTTCTCTTATCATGTAATCCAGGTTAAAAATACTGGTACTGGTACATCCAACACTGTCCTCTCAAACTTTCAAAAGACTCAATTTCATACCTGAGAGGGACTTTCTTTAAAATAGATAATTCATTTAGCTTTTTGACTAAAAATTGATCAAGAGATCAGAGAACCGTACCACAAAAGAGTGATTTAAATAGACTGTCGAGGTGAGGTATGATTTGATTGCACATGTATTGTATATATAACAATTTTCTTCTTCGAATAGTTAACATGTATAGTTTCTTGTATGTACAACTTCTTCATAGATCTCCCAGAAACTGAGCATTAAATCAATTTAGATTAAACATAGTGTAACTCAATGATTAAAACTGAGGATACCTTCCATAAAAAGTTAAAGCTAATGTAGGATCTTCCATAAAGAGCACTTGTGATTTATTGTTTACCACTGTTACTATTGTTAGAGCCCGGATTTCTTATTCTAATTCAGTTCATGTAAATAGAAGGCTTAGGCAAACACTAAGGTGTTTTCATTTATTTGAGACATTTTTACCCACCATAATTAAAAAATCTGACCAATGCACATAGGAATTGTTGTTGATTATTGACTTTTTGATTGTGATTATTGACTCTTTGAGTGTGATATTGACCTGTTCATTGTGAATATTGGCTTGTTGGATTTTTAACTTTAAAAAATTACAGTTCTCTTCTGTAAATTGTTCTTTTTTTTTTTTCATTTCATTGAGTGATTATAAGGCCATTGAAGCTATGTGATGAAACAAAACAATGAATAAAAAATCTCTCTGACATTCCAATTATTTATGTCTAAAGATTAAAACTTTTTTTAATTGTGAAAATAAATAAAATAAATCATTATATTTAAAGAAAGTTTTCATATAGCTGACAAACAATCAGAAAAAAGTCTTAAAAGCTCATGCCCTGTGAACCTGCTCTCTTTGAAATCTGGCACAACTCACCCAGCACAATCATCTTTTAACATGCACATTAAGAGAGTAGGTATCACAATTCATTTAACTTCCTCTTATAGCCGACATGATTACTTCCCTTATAAAAGACACGGCTGACTTCCCCTTATAACTGACATGGTTGACTTCCCATTATATTTATAATAATAACTCTTTACATTTTTTTGGATTTTTTATTGTGTTGGTTATTTTTGATTCATAATTTAATATTTTTTTAAAAAGATTTTACAAGGGAAAGCTGTTTCTTTTAAGAATAATTTCTTATGTTTGGTTATATTATATTTGTTATATTTGGTCGTAGTGATCTTTTTATGATATACCTGCACTGTGATGTTTTGGATTGGATGATTTCCTCTTCAATAAAAAATGTATTGTAACATAAATAATTTCAAAATGTTCTTAAATTTTGCCTAACTGTCAAAGAAATTTTACTTGACAGACTATATTAATTATAAGTTGTAAATAAATGGTGAAATGAAAAATAAAAAAACAGGTTAATATATTTGTATTAATAATATAAGGAATTTGAAAAAGTATTGATAAGGATTATTGATATTTCTTTTTTAAAGAAATTTTACTTGACAGACTATATTAATTATAAGTGGTAAATAAATGGTGAAATGAAAAATAAAAAACAGGTTAATATATTTGTATTAATAATATAAGGAATTTGAAAAAGTATTGATAAGGATTATTGATAGTTCTTTTTTTAAGGACATTATGTCATTTACATGTCTACAGTGGAAATGATAGAATCTTTTTGAGTAATCAAAAATGTTATTTTTAATTGGTGCAGAATTTAAATTTTCCTTTTTCATGTTTTATAACTTTCAAATTAGGGAAAACTTCTAAAGCTATTTTTGGAGTAGGGCATCCCTTTGTTGTCAAGTGTTAATACCCAATGTGTCTTGTGTCAATGGCCTGAGTGAAATTTTATAATTTAAACAATTTTATTCTTGACAAAATGATACTATATTTCATGGCTTCCATTTTCATATTTAAATATTTTTTTTTTAAAATCTATATTTGTGACCTTTGACCCAGTGTTGCTAAAAATATAAGTATATTCCTATCTGATCTTTATCTTTAGATCTTTTATAAACCAGGGGTCACATTTATTAACCAAGAAATTAAAAATCTTAACAACTTTTTTAATTCTACTTTACAAATTCATATTAATAATACTATATAATTTTATTATCATTACTGAATGTAATTGTAGCATATAAGGCAGATGACTCCAGTGCAATGGACTTTTTGATGTTATATTCTTCAACTGTTTAAAAAAAAACTTTCCATATTTTGCTGATTGCATTTGACAAATTTCTTGTTCATGGTATTTAATAAAACATTATCAAAAACTTCTTGAGTTTTTTTCATTCTGGATATGGAACTAATTGAACTGTTATTTATTTAGTATTACATTCTCTTGAAATTTTTATATACATACATATTATATATATATACATATTATGCATATATATATACATATTATACATATTATACATATATATATACATATTATACATATATATACACATATTATACATATATATATACACATATTATACATATATATATATACATATTATACATATATATATATATATATATACATATACATACATGTATACATATTATACATACATATATACATTTATACATACATATATATATATATACATATACACCTATACATATATATATACACACACATATATATATACATATATATACATATATATGTATAATTATATATGATATATGCATATATACATGCATATACATATGCATATATACATATTTAATATATATATATATGTATATATATATATATATATATATATATATACACTCACACACTCATTGGCTGGAGTCCAAATCCCTATCATACCCAAGAAAAACAAATCAACACAAATTCAGAAAAGTTCAAAGTTCATTATAAAATGACTATAAAACTTAACATTTGCTAAATGAAATACAAAATGTTATCTCTGATATTTTCTTGAATCCATCCATCCATCCCTGTTGCACCCAAGGCTGTGTTAGGGCTTTGACTTGCCTCACTACGTCCTTCTACTCAGACCTAACTAATGCTTTTCTTTTCCATGCTTGGATTCCCAACTCTAATACATCTTTCTCCATATCAACTGTCAATGTCTAGGCCTGCCTTTGAGACATTTTCCTGTGGTGTTTTGGTGGAGTACCTTTTTTACTCCGCTGTTATTAGGCATTCTTTCTAAGAGTCTCACCCAGCGCAGCCAGCCCCTTTTTATTTCTACTTCTATAGTCCATATAAATATAATACCTGGTTGGATCGTATTCTCCATCCATATTCATCCTTTGTTGGTCAGTATATTTTCTTCAAGGTCTTTTAAAAAATGTCATTAAAATTGTGAAAGATCTGATTGTGCCAGCTATTAATGCTGCTGGTGGAAATTTTTTATTCTTTGCAGTTTGCTCTTTTTGACAGTCAACTATAAACTGAATCTTATCTGAGTTGTCAGTCTGTTTATTTCAAATAGGATTTTTAAAAATTCCTCTAAATTCTAAGATTAAATCATTTTCTGAGCTTCACCATTTGGGAACCAATATTTTAAAAAAAAAAAGGTTCAAAATTACAACATAGACTGATGACTATTCATTGGCAATTTTAAATGAAGAAAAGAAACACATTTTTTATTTAAAAAGTTATTTTGATTTAATATAGGACGGAATGTAAAAATATTTCATGCAGCATAATTATTCTTAAATTATGAAACTCAAAATTGAGATAAAAATTATATTTTCTGTCCCTGTCTTTTAAAAAGTTCACCCCACAGCATTGAAACATTTGATAAACACAAACTACTGAATTCCATTAAAAGTCATTCCATTGAAAACTTATGTCATCTATTATAAATTATATGTAGTCAAATTTACAAATGACAATGTTGTCTTAAAAGTAATATAGAAATATATAATAATATAATTTTATGTAAAATATTATGGTAGCAATATCTTAAACAAATAAGACATGTGGTTGTTCAGTAGTCCTTTAATTATAAGGTTTTACTTTAAGATACAAAGCTATCATACAATCACAAACTTTTTAAAAAAATTGAGCAAAATTTAGTGGCTAAATAAACTTGATTCCTTATAATTGTAATTAGAATATTTCAAATCTAGAAAATAAAAGAAATTCATATCTTGCTTTTTTCTAAACAAAATGACTTTTTAATACAGATAGCCATAATGTAGGGAATATCAGGGGAAACCGATCTCTTCATCAATAATAATAATAATAATAAAAGTTATTTTCAACCAGAAGTAGCTAAGGACTACCCTTGAGAGCTGAAATCTTAGTCACTACTTTGTCTGGTGACACATTATTTTATCAAAAATTTGCAGATTTTTTATATACCAATTCCTGCAAAAATATCTCATATTTTTCCAAATAAAACATTTTAATCCAGGGAAGTAACTTAATTAAATTGAATATTCAAAACTTATTGACTAACATAGTGATATTTTTAAAAGCTTTTTATCCACACAATAAACCCCTAATTTTTTACAGTCTATCTACTTCCTTGTTCTGTAATTCTTAACAAATTTGACATTTAAATTGTAATAAAAAAATATACTGATATTATACACACATATACATTACATATACATTTAATTAAGTATCTTTAGAGATGGTTAGTTTTGTCCTCTCCTCTCACTCAATCTCAGGTTAATTGAATCATCCTGTGATGAAATTATCTTTTTTGCACTTCAGCCAAAGTTGTTAAACTTAGACCTAGAAATTAAAAAAAAATTGTGATAATTTTTTTATATTTTGCAGCTTTCATCAGACAATAGAGCATTCTCATACATTATATATATAACAATTTATTTTAACACTTCACAAAATAGTTACTGTCTAACTCAGGCCTGCACAACTCAAAATGTAAGGCGGGCTGTAATACTTTATGTAAACTTTTGGGGGCCAAAAGAAAATAGGAAAGGGGAGAGCTATTAAGAAAATAAGAATAAAGAATATTTTGTTAATTCGCGGGCCACAAAGTGGATGCTAGCGGGCCGTATGTGGCCCGTGGGCCGTATGTTGTGCTGGCCTGGTCTAACTCATTCTCAATAGTTTACTTCAGCCATCAGGTTTTGTTATGACTTACAAACTGTTTGACTCCGTCCTGGGCCAAAATCACTGGAAGCCATTATTGGACAGGTCAATCTCTGAGATGTCACTCTCAGCTTCGTCAGCTGTTGATGGGATGGTCACTGACATCCTGTATGGACCTGACCTTGACCCTGTACTGTGAACAATTCTGAGAAACATAGGAACCATGTTTTTTAGATTTTTTGTTTGAAATAAAATAGCATACTATAAGAACTGAAACATAGGAATGACGCCAGTGATCTGAGCCCCAGCTCTTATGGGCCCACTGAGAGCCCTAATTTGCACAACATCCCCTCCTTTTACAGAGGGGAGATGCTGCAAAGCAGCTCCCTTGGGGTGTTTTGCACTAATGGCAAACCACCTGGCCACCCCAGGAATGCCAAAGAACTTGACTGAACCAATGATCAACTGAACTAATTTATTATTGCATTGAGATGATGAATGATCTATTTAATTATGTCATATATTAATTTCCTTATGTTTTGAAAAGTTATGGACAGATTTAAAATAAAAAAATTCTCTTAGTTCAACTATGAAAATTTAATTAAACACATTTGTACATTTGATATCAGTAACGTGAAAAAGGTAATTTATTATGGCTCCATATGTGCTGTATTAAAAAGGTAATTTATTATGGCTCCATATGTGCTGTATTAAAAAGGTAATTTATCATGGCCCCATATGTGCTGTATTAAAAAGGTAATTTATCATGGCCCCATATGTGCTGTATTAAAAAGGTAATTTATCATGGCCCCATATGTGCTGTATTAAAAAGGTAATTTATCATGGCCCCATGGATGCTGTGAGTGTTAAAAGGTCAAGGGGTGCACAAAAACAAACAGTTAATAAATTTACGTTAACATTCCTTCTACTTTGAGGCTTACGTTAACATTCCTTCTACTTTGAGGCTTACGTTAACATTCCTTCTACTTTGAGGCTTACGTTAACATTCCTTCTACTTTGAGGCTTACGTTAACATTCCTTCTACTTTGAGGCTTACGTTAACATTCCTTCTACTTTGAGGCTTACGTTAACATTCCTTCTACTTTGAGGCTTACGTTAACATTCCTTCTACTTTGAGGCTTACGTTAACATTCCTTCTACTTTGAGGCTTACGTTAACATTCCTTCTACTTTGAGGCTTACGTTAACATTCCTTCTACTTTGAGGCTTACATTAACATTCCTTCTACTTTGAGGCTTACTTTAACATTCCTTCTACTTTGAGGCTTACATTCCAGGGATACATGCTAAGAGTTATTCCTGATAACAAATACATTTATTTTTTTAAAAATCCTTAAAAGAAACTTTTTTTTACTTGTAAGGAATACCAGTTCACATTTTTTGTTTTCTCTTAAGTTAACTAAAGACATGATGACCTACTTTCTCAAATCTGTTTCGTCATATGAGTCATCCAAAGAGTAATTTAACCCAAGAGATCGGCTGGGGTCGGAGTTCGGGACAGGTGATTCCCACCTGTTGGATTTATCATAGGTTCCCGTCAGGTCAAACTCCACAGATTTCTTGACACCTGACTGTCTAGACTTTAAGCTGGATGTGAGAGCTCCATCACCTGTGAAATAGCAGGCAGCTCAACATTTAGAGACCTCTTTATTTAGACTCTTTATTTGCAATAAAAAAAATTCCTAAGCAACATTTGGTTGTGTTATGTTTTATGACATAACTACACCTCAATGGCTTTTACCTGATCTTCTGAGAATGGGACTTTCAGCTGACCTACTTAACGACTCACTCGGATAACTTGACCTTGACATTCTTGTTCCTGGAATTAAACAAAAACAATTTATTATTTTTTACAAAGCCACCAAGAAAAAAAAAATCAACAAGCAAGGGAGATGACTGATTCAGCAATTACCAAAATCACTGCTTTGTGAGATTCTACTGTCACTGCTTCTGCGTCCATAAGGCGGTGGAGTTTTCCCCCTTGTTGGTAGTGGTGCCCCTTCAGAAAGAACTGGTTGATATTGCATTTGCCCTGTCAATGAAACAAAATGAAATTTGAAACAGATCCTCACAATAACAAGGTTTAATTATTATGTTGAAAAATCGGTCTTTAATCAAAATGCAAATCAGTTTTTTAAAAAAAGCTGTGATAACAAATAATAACATAAGTGATGGTAACAAAAGTCATGATAACATAACTGATGGTATGGTAACAAAAGCCATGATAACATAACTGATGGTATGGTAACAAAAGCCATGATAACATAACTGATGGTATGGTAACAAAAGCCATGATAACATAACCAATGGTATGGTAACAAAAGCCATGATAACATAACTGATGGTAGGGTAACAAAAGCCACCATAACATAACTGATGGTATGGTAACAAAAGCAATGATAGAAGAACCATAAAATACCGTTATTTTTTTCTACAACACCGTGATCTACCCTTTAAATGTTATATCGATGTGTCACGGCTAACCCAGTTTTATGGGAGCCTAATGGAATAAGTACCCAGTCATGTAGCCTAAGTTACTTTCAATGGATGGCTCACTGTATTAGCACAACTCACTTTGAGGTCTTCCCCTTATGCCTCCTTGCTGTGGTTTCTGGGGTGATGGACTTCTGCTGGTCCTGGTTGGGCGACTCCTCTGGTCAGGTGAAGGACGACGCCTGTGGTCAGGTGAAGGGCTCCTACTGCTCTGCTCATATTGCTGGACCACTGGTGATGGTGTTCTGCTGCGATGCTCCACATCCGGCCTCCTCCTTCTTCTCTGATCCTCATTTCTATCATATTCCTCCTCACTTCTCTCCAAACTGTTAGATGGACTTTGTCGTCCTGTAGTTCAATTTCAATGTGAAACATTAATCAGTATAGGTGTTAAGTTTTGTTTTTGGGCTTGTTATTAAAATTTAGTGAAGAATCATTTACCCCCCCCCCCCCTTTTCCCCACAAGGGATGTATTTGTGTAAGGCACGGGTTCTTAACTCATTTCAGATGGTTGCAACTAAGTGCGTCATTTGGGGTTCTGATGGATGCGTCCAGGTGATGGAGTGATTCTGCTTTATTTCAATTTAAAAACCAGATGTTTTATTATTCTTGTTTGATTTTCAATCTATGTTTGCTTTAGAATGGTGTGTCTATATCTAGCATGTGTCTATATCTAGCGTGTGTCTATATCTAGCATGTGTTCATCCGTGGTGTCTATATCTAGCATGTGTCTATATCTACCATGTGTCTATATCTAGCATGTGTCTATATCTAGCATGTGTTCATCCGAGGTGTCTATACCTAGCATGTGTTCATCCGAGGTGTCAATATCTAGCATGTGTTCATGGTGCCAAAAATATTTTTTTTTGTTTCTTTGCTTGTAATTAGTTTGCTGTAATGTTATATTTTTATTAAAAGTTATTCATTTCTGAATGCATTTATCCTAAATTCATTAATATTAATCAATATTTAGCAGCTCAAACAGTTTTTTTTAATCAATGAAAATCAATTGCAAAACAGAATTACTTCCCTTTCTCAGACACAGTAAATAAATAACAGAAATAGCCATGCCTTCAGGGAGACAGTGTCAGGAGTCGTGAGAAATATTTTATGAAATCAAGATGGGGATGCAGGTAATGTTTTGCAATCAAGAGGGGGGGGGGGGGGTGTGGCACTGCAAAAAAAAAAAAAAAGGTTAACAGCCCCTGGTGTAAAGAGTAAGCAACAATAGAATGAGAGATGGATCATGCCTTCAGGGAGACAGTGTCAGGAGTCGTGAGAAATATTTTATGAAATCAAGATGGGGATGCAGGTAATGTTTTGCAATCAAGAGGGGGGGGGGGGGTTGTGGCACTGCAAAAAAAAAAAAAAAGGTTAACAGCCCCTGGTGTAAAGAGTAAGCAACAATAGATTGAGAGATGGAAGTAGCATGGTTCGCCACACAAACAATAGATTGAGAGATGACAGTAGCCTGGTTTGCCACACCAACAATCGATTGAGAGATGACAGTAGCATGGTTCACCACACAAACAATAGATTGAGAGATGACAGTAGCCTGGTTTGCCACACCAACAATAGATTGAGAGATGGCAGTGGCCTGGTTCACCACACAAACAATAGATTGAGAGATGACAGTAGCATGGTTCACCACACAAACAATAGATTGAGAGATGACAGTAGCCTGGTTCACCACACAAACAATAGATTGAGAGATGACAGTAGCCTGGTTTGCCACACCAACAATAGATTGAGAGATGACAGTGGCCTGGTTCACCACACAAACAATAGATTGAGAGATGACAGTAGCCTGGTTCACCACACAAACAATAGATTGAGAGATGACAGTAGCCTGGTTCACCACACTAACAATAGATTGAGAGATGACAGCGGCCTGGTTTGCCACACCAACAATAGATTGAGAGATGACAGTAGCCTGGTTTGCCACACCAACAATAGATTGAGAGATGACAGTGGCCTGGTTTGCCACACCAACAATAGATTGAGAGATGACAGTAGCCTGGTTTGCCACACTAACAATAGATTGAGAGATGACGGTAGCCTGGTTTGCCACACCAACAATAGATTGAGAGATGACAGTGGCCTGGTTCACCACACCCAAAACAATCTTGACAGCAATTAATCAGGGTTGAAATTATTGGTTCAGATTTACCATCTGGTAAAGGGAAATAATATAGCTTTTCTCACCGGTTTTTCTAATTCCATTCCTGAGCTCCATGGCGAGCCTGGATGGGGGGACCTGGCCGACACTCATCTCACCCAGACTTCTTCCAGTGGTGGACATGACCTCTTTGGGCTGAGGACCACTCAAAATCTGAACCAAAAAATGAGATATGCACAAAACATCCTATGGTTTAAGGACACTTTCCCTTAAATTAGGTAAATTAGTTCCAGGTTTACATTATTTCATGACAAAACCAAAATTCAGTAGCAGAACAAAATATGACATAGCAAACAATTTTGTGGCAGATTTCACAGATTTGAGCTGATGTCTAGTATATGCCTAAATCAAGTCACTTGTCTGATCTGAGGTCCAGTACATCTCTAAATCAACTCACTAGTCTGATCTGAAGTCCAGGACATCCCTAAATCAATTCACCTGTCTGATCTGAGGTACAGTTATTTTCCAATCTCAACTCACATATCTGACCTGAGATCCAGGTATGTCCCTAAATTAATTACTTCACCTGTCTGACTTGAGGTCCAGGTGTATCCCAAGGTCAACTCACCTGTCTGACCTGAGGTCCAGGTATATCCCAAGATCAACTCACCTTCTGACCTGAGATACAGGTATTTTCCTAGGTCAACTCACCTGTCTGACCTGAGGTACAGGTATTTCCCTGTGACTGATTTGAAAAGGATTTCTCTGCATCTGTGCCAGGAGCTCCAACATTGGGTCACTTTCAGGGGCAGGTAACCCAGTCAAAAGAAATTCCCCTTCACTTTTTGGATAATCTGTCTCATCCTGAACATGACAAAATTTGCAACCAGTGAAAACCCCTTAGATTGACCTAAACCCCTAGATTGACCTAAACCCCTAGATTGACCTAAACCCCTAGATTGACCTAAACCCCTAGATTGACCTAAACCCCTAGATTGACCTAAACCCCTAGATTGACCTAAACCCCTAGATTGACCTAAACCCCTAGATTGACCTAAACCCCTAGATTGACCTAAACCCCTAGATTGACCTAAACCCCTAGATTGACCTAAACCCCTAGATTGACCTGTCCAAATTTACCTGAACAATCATTAGTAGCCCAAGCACTAATACTTTCTTTTACCAATTGTTCTTGCGTACTTATTTATTTTCAACTTTCTAAAGGACATTATAACTTCAAAGATCTCATGCTTCATAGATGTTAACAAAATGTTACAGTGGATTCTAAGAGCTGCATGTAACTAACCTGTCTATACAAAAGAAATTACATTTTATAATCATTCATTTATAATCACGTATAAATGCAGCTATAAAAACGATGTCAAACCATGGCAAAATGACACTTGCTGAGTCATAGATAAGATGTGATCAACAGCCAAGTCAACAACAATTTGTTGCAGGCAGATTGCTTTAAACATTTCTCCTTTTTTGTTGTCTCGATTGAGACAGCAGTGTCTATATGACAGCAGTATGTTTATGACAGCAAATGTTCATGACAGCAGCGTGTAGTATAAAACATAGACATTGTCTGATGTACTGACCAAGACCAGGTCTTCTGTATCTCTTAATGTACTGGCAGTGCTGACATCTCCCACATACTGGTGACCTTTGTGGAGAAACTTTTGACGTTTGGCTGTGAATGATATTTTTAGATCAGATGAAATTTGAATGCTATTGATTATATCAAATTCATTTAATTAAAAGAAATGATTGTTCCCCCACGGAACTCAATTTTTTCTTTCTATTAATATATTGATGACCAATTGCCCCCCCCCCCCAACCCCACAAACCTTCATAAACTGTTTCTTACCTTCATTAAGTGGTAAACCAATGACCTGTCCCTCACTAAGTAGCCACTGGCCATCGGAAATGGCATCATTGACTGTGTCTGTCAGACTGGAGTCAGTCTCTGAGGACGATGGTTCAGGGGAACTCAATGATAGCTGGCGCTGTCAGTCAAAAATAGATAGCAGAAGGTAAATAATACTTGAAGATTAAGTCTCCTGGTTCCCTACTAGTTTCTTTTGATAGTAGGAAAAGTTGATTGATCAAGCCGTCTCTATTCTCCCCATGGAACTGTGCTCATACAACACGGCAGACTGAACATGTTTCATACAACACGGCAGACTGAACATGTTTCATACAACACGGCAGACTGAACATGTTTCATACAACACGGCAGACTGAACATGTTTCATACAACACGGCAGACTGAACACGGCAGACTGAACACGGCAGACTGAACACGGCAGACTGAACATGTTTCATCATCAGTGAACACCGGCTGCAAGTAAGTTGTTCTATTGTACGTGTTCTATTGTAAGTGTTCTATTGTACGTGTTCTATTGTATGTGTTCTATTGTACGTGTTCTATTGTACGTGTTCTATTGTACGTGTTCTATTGTACGTGTTCTATTGTACATGTTCTATTGTACATGTTCTATTGTACGTGTTCTATTGTATTGTTCTATTGTACGTGTTCTATTGTACGTGTTCTATTTTCATAAATGGTTCTAAGATTCAACTCACTTCTGGTGATGAAGATTTGGGTCCAGGGGATGTGGACATCTCTATGGTCATTGGCCCATCCCTTCCAACAGCCACAGACAGCAACCTGGCATCAACAATAACATAAGCGTATTTAATCCACTGGTTGATCACAGTTTTAAGATTAATCAAGGTGGCACTTTAAACAAACATATTTTTAAAAAAAAACACCAATTTGTGAGCACTTGATAGGGCCACTAATAGTGATCACTCACTGACCACTTGAAAATGCAAATAATAGTGACCACTCACTGAACACTAATAGTGACAACTCACTGACCCCTTGTTAGACCTACCAATAGTGACCAATAACCAATCGAAAGACCCTTCTACTGTGACCATTCACTGACCATTTGACAGTGCCACTAATAATTACCACTCAATAATCCCTTGATTAATAGTGACCACTTGATAGCACCACTTGATAGCACCACTTGATAGCACCACTTGATAGCACCACTTGATAGCACCACTTGATAGCACCACTTGATAGCACCAATAAACAGTGACCACTTGATAGTGCCACTAATAGTGACCAACGAATACTTGAAAGACCCCCTAAGAGACCATTAACTGACCACTTGACAGTGCAACTAATAGTGACCACTCAATAACCCCTTGACAGTACCACTAATAGTGACCACTCACTAACCACATGATAACACCACTAATAGTGACCAAATGACTACTTGAAAGACCCCCTAATATGACCACTCAATAACCCCTTGACAGTACCACTAATAGTGACCACTCACTGACCACATGATAACACCACTAATAGCGATCAATGACTACTTGAAAGACCCCCCAGTATGACCACTCAGTGACCACTTGATGGACCCATCAAACCAACAAACTTACAATGGCTTTGGTTGATCCAGTTCTACTCTATCTACATCATCCTCCTCCTCCTCTCCATCATCCTCTGCCTCCTCCTCCTCCTCCTCAACCACAATTGTCTTCCTCTGCACAGGTTCCTCCACAATCTCAGATTTCATGATCGTAGCTTGTACGGGGGATGCTGGAGGTGTTGTGTGGCGTGGAGGTGAATCAGGTGACATGGGGGGTGTGGCCATAGGTGACAATGAGGGTGTGGCAACATCATGGTCTTCAATGATTGGTTCCTCTTGATCCACTGATTTACCTTTAGCTAAGATACATATGTGAGCACAAAGTCAGCAGAAGGAAGTTGGGGTAATAGTTGCTAGCTTATATCTAAACTTAATTGCAAGCTTAGTTCCAAACTTAGTTGCAAGCTTAGTTGCAAGGATAGTTGCAAGCTTAGTTCCAAACTTAGTTGCAAGCTTAGTTCCAAACTTACATGCAAGCTTAGTTTGAAACTTAATTGCAAGCTTAGTGCCAAACTTACATGCAAGCTTAGTTGCAAGCTCATTTGCAAGCTTAGTTCCAAGCTTAGTTGCAAGCTTAGTTCCAAACTTAGTTGCAAGCTTATTTGCAAGCTTAGTTCCAAGTTTATTTGCAAGCTTAGTTCCAAGCTAAGTTCCAAGCTTAGTTCCAAGCTTAGTTGAAAGCTTAATTGCGAGCTTAGTTCCAAACTTAGTTGCAAGCTTAGTTTCAAACTTAGTTGCAAGCTTAGTTCAAAACTTACTTGCAAGCTTCGTTCGAAACTTACTTGCAAGCTTAGTTCAGAAATAAATGTTGCATGGTCTGTTTAGAATGAACAACAGCTTAGAACCCCTTCCAGAAATTCTATATTCTGACTTGACTAAAACAAAAGTAACTAGCAGTAACTTTATTTAATCATTCATGTTTTGTAAACATGGTTTTAAAAAAAATAATTTTGTAGAGCATTTTTTCTAGCGTGCAAGATTTCACCACCTGGAGGCTGCCATGTAAAGTAAACTTGTAATGCAAAATTTCACCAATCGGAGTTGTAGACTGTAGTTGTAAAACTCTGTATTTTATCAAACTCGACTTACCTGCAACCCTCCTGAGTTCCTCGGATATATCAACTGAGACAGAAAGATCTGTGTCCGATTCTTTGTCTGTCGTCACAGTTTCTGAAGCTCTCTGTATTTGTGGGTTAGGCTCTGGTTCGTACACAGGTTGTCGCATCCGAAACCCTGCAGCAGGGGGTGACAGCGGCGGGGTGGTTAGTCCAGTGAGTGGCTGTGGCTTGACACGTCTCGGTGAGGCAATAGGTGAGGCTTTCGGTGTCGGTTCTGGTGTCTGAACTCGCGGTGGCCCTCTTTCAAACTCCTGAATAAAAAATATTTAGAAAACATATTTAAACTGGAAGTAAAAATAGGTCATGTCGTTGAGTATTGAGATCTGAAATTTTTATTCCAGAATTATGCTTCAATTGTCAACAAAGTAAAACAATTTTAGAACTGAGTCGGAAAATTAGAAGTTCAGTCACTGGCATAGCAAGAGTGGAGCGGATGTGCATCTCGGGAAGCACATTTTTCTTAATAAAGAACGGCTGCATTTTTGTCAAACTGCAGAGTTTTGTTCATAGGGGAGGCATAAAACATCTTGACCAGCCTCAGGCAGCATTAACCCTGGCTGTGCCACTGTGTTCAGTCATCTAGAAATGATCCGTAATTTAGGTTCAGTGATTTGAAGCTCTCTTGCATTGGTAAAATATTTAGTGGCTCTGTCAAGCAGGACTCTGGACCAGGCTAAAAGCTGAGCTGCTGCGTCTGCACGGGGCCTCAGATATTTAAGGGTGCCAAATCTGTGGTGTGGAAAAAAAATTCAATCAATCAACTTTGACTGCAGGTGGCTGACTGCAGGTGGCTGACTGCAGGTGGTTGACTGCAGGTGGCACAAAACCTAAAAGTGGCAAGAGGCTTCCAAAAATCAGGAGTTGACTGACTCCATTTATCCATTTCCAATCTGACTGACTCCATTTATCCATTTCCAATCTGACTGACTCCATTTATCCATTTCCAATCTGACTGACTCCATTTATCCATTTCCAATCTGACTGACTCCATTTATCCATTTCCAATCTGACTGACTCCATTTATCCATTTCCAATCTGACTGACTCCATTTATCTATTTCCAATCTGACTGACTCCATTTATCCATTTCCAATCTGACTGACTCCATTTATCCATTTCCAATCTGACTGACTCCATTTATCCATTTCCAATCTGACTGACTCCATTTATCTATTTCCAATCTGACTGACTCCATTTATCCATTTCCAATCTGAGTATTTAGTGGATGGTGGAGGAGGGTAGAGATGTGATGGGGAATTGATCTAGGTGCAAGTAGAGGGGAGAATGGTATGATAGATTGGGGTGTTGGAGGAAAGAGTCAAGTAGAGGGGAGAATGGTATGATAGATTGGGGTGTTGGAGGAAAGAGTCAAGTAGAGGGGAGAATGGTATGATAGATTGGGGTGTTGAAGAAAAGAGTCAAGTAGAGGGGAGAATGGTATGATAGATTTGGGGTGTTGGAGGAAAGAGTCAAGTAGAGGGGAGAATGGTATGATAGATCGGGGTGTTGAAGAAAAGAGTCAAGTAGAGGGGAGAATGGTATGATAGATTTGGGGTGTTGGAGGAAAGAGTCAAGTAGAGGGGAGAATGGTATGATAGATTGGGGAGTTGGGGGAAAGAGTCAAGTAGAGGGGAGAATGGTATGATAGATTGGGGTGTTGGAGGAAAGAGTCAAGTAGAGGGGAGAATGGTATGATAGATTTGGGGTGTTGGGTTAGTAGAGGGGAGAATGGTATGATAGATTGATAGATTGGGTGTTGGAGGAAAGAGTAATGGAGATAAAGGCAAGGGAGATCAAGGGGTAAGAGGACTGGGTGCTGGAGCTTAGGAAGGGTTTGAAGAAGTAATGTCTGGGGGCAGAATGTAGTGACATTGGAGGGGATAGAGGGAGGAAGTGGATAAGATAAGGTAACGAAGGGGAGGACTGTGTAGGTCGACCGGCTCACCTAAAAAGAGAGTTATATTAATTTAATTCGCCCCCCTCCCCCCCCCCCGTGTCATTTAACAACAGGTTCAAACTATGGATCTACACTTACGTTATCTCTTGCTGGAGGGGGAGGAGGGAGGAAGGGGATAAGATAAGGGAACGAAGGGGAGGACTGTGTAGGTCGACCGGCTCACCTAAAAAGAGAGTTATATTAATTTAATTCGCCCCCTCCCCCCCCCCCCGTGTCATTTAACAACAGGTTCAAACTATGGATCTACACTTACGTTATCTCTTGCTTCCATGGCTTCATCCACAGCGTCCTTGACCTTGACACCTTGAGTGTCCACCTCAGCTGACCTCTGGGCCAACATGGTGTTAATTTTCTCCTGCAGCACCTCCTTGACCAGAGCTTGGACTAAAGCATTATCAACAGGCTGGCCAGCATCTATAAATAGCTGCATGCCACCTTGGCCAAGCATGTCAGCCACTGCATGAAATAAAACAATATTAATCTACATCACATGATATTTATATTGCCAGAGAAGTATGACTAGGATGATTCTCTAGAGAAAATATAGTCTTTATTTTATGTTTCCGCCATACTTCTGATAGCCCTTTTGGTTGCTGTGCTGTGCTAATAAAAATCAACTCTCATATCTTTGGTAGGACTTTTTGGTTGGCATTGTTGTGCCACTTGTTCATAAAAAGACATTACTGGTGCATAAACACAATTATAGTGCAGATTTGGAGGATACAGAAATAATTTTTTTTTAGAAGATTAAGGCAATTAGCATAGAGTTGTTACCGAGTTGTTTTGCTTTCATTTAACATTTAGTTAACACATATCTGTTTAATGTGACTGATAATCCTGAATAGAAAACAATGTTGAGATGGCTGCTTTGAATGTCATTACGTGATGACATATACAATGGTGGACATATTACAATAAGATTCAACTGACTGACCCATTAAAGATTCCTCTTGGTCAGTATCCTCTGACTTGTCCAGTTCAACCCTTGTGTCTGTCTGATGGGGACGCTGTAGTGGAGCCATGACTTGTGACAGCACATGAGCCATGAGCTCTTGTTCAAGCCTGGAACATTACAAACACAATACAGAAGCACATAGATATATATTATAGATTTCATGGAACAAACACATTACAGAAGCAGATAGATATATATTATATACTTCATGGAACAAACACAATACAGAGGCACATAGATATATATTATATACTTCATAGAACAAACACAATACAGAAGCACATAGATATATATTATAGATTTCATGGAACAAACACAATACAGAAGCACATAGATATATATTATAGATTTCATGGAACAAACACAATACAGAAGCACATAGATATATATTATAGACTTCATAGAACAAACACATTACGGAGGCACATAGTCACATATTACAGACTTAATATAATAAGCACTTTACGGAGGCACATAGACACATATCACAGACTTAATATAATAAGCACATTACGGAGGCACATAGACATTTATTATAGACTTTATGGAACAAGTACATCACATACAAGTTGTAGGCTCTAGTAAAAAAAAAAGCAAAAAAAAACAACAACAAATGCATTAGGAAGGCATCCAAGTTAGTTTGATAATCAATATTATAATGGTACAATTAGGACAATAGAGAATTTAATGATGTGAGCAATGAACGTCTCTATCAACCTGAATCTAAAAGTGGATATTTTTATCTTACAACTTGCGTAGGTCATGTGACCCGTCCATATCAAATTGATGTAATAGCTTGAGTTTAGATGCTTATTTACCAATGGACGGCGTTGCTTTCTAGGATGTCCCGTTGCCTTAGATCTTCTGCAATTACATCAGAAACTAAGGTCACTGGACGACCTTGACTCTCTCCTGCCGTCCAGTCAGCTTTCGGCTTATTGGTAGGAGGGAATTCAGGCCCAGAATATTCAGAATAGGGTGCAACATAGCCTGGTAGGTTGATTCCCTCCCCTGACTGTTCCATCTCAGAGTTATCCTCGGTTAAAGTGTTGTCAAGATCAACATCAGCCTGTAACAAAATAAACGTACAAATCTAGGACAGTACAAGCATACAAAACTAAACACACAAATCTATGACAGTACAAGCATGCAAAACTAAAGATAAAAATCTATGACAGTACAAGCATACAAAACTAAACATACAAATCTATGACAGTACAAGCATAAAAAACTAAACATACAAATCTATGACAGTACAAGCATACAAAACTAAAGATAAAAATCTATGACAGTACAAGCATACAAAACTAAACATACAAATCTATGACAGTACAAGCATACAAAACTAAACATACAAATCTATGACAGTACAAGCATACAAAACTAAAAATACAAATCTATGACAGTACAAAAATAAACATTTTCCTGTGAGTTTGACATAATTGAAGAACTTACGTGATGAGCATCATACATGAACGTGACATTGGCATTGTCTTGTTGGGGACTTCTGATCTGGATGTCAGATCTCTGGGAGGATGATGGGCTGATGGAGTCAATGTCAATGGGAGGAAGAACCTGAAAAAGAAATTTATTTGTGCATTCAAATAGTTTTACTATATTTACAGGACAGCTAATTTTGGAACAATAAAAATAATTATTTTAACAATCTATGCATACAACTATTTTAATGTTTTATACAGACAACTATTTTTATAAGATTCAAGCATTTTACTAATTTTTACATAGATAGATATATAAGGGAATGAGTTGAAGCAGTGTGAAGTCTACACTAGAGCAGGATGCACGCAGTGTGAAGTCAACACTAGAGCAGGATGCAAGCAGTGTGAAGTCAACACTAGAGCAGGATGCAAGCAGTGTGAAGTCAACACTAGAGCAGGATGCAAGCAGTGTGAAGTCAACACTAGAGCAGGATGCAAGCAGTATGAAGTCAACACCAGAGCAGTATTTGAAAGCTTATAAGGAACGAAAAGCCCAATCAAGTGAATGTTTTGTCAACAGGAACGAAAGAAAACATTGACACTAAGCTTGCCCCCTAGAATGCCCTGTGTTTCCCTTCAAGCTTTTACATTTCCTGTTCTACTTCCTTATCCACGCAACTGTGTTAACCCTGTAACTGTCTAGTGCAATTTTCTGTGGCAACTGTGTTAACCCTGTAACTGTCTAGTGCAATTTTCTGTGGCAACTGTGTTAACCCTGTAACTGTCTAGTGCAATTTTCTGTGGCAACTGTGTTAACCCTGTAACTGTCTAGTGCAATTTTCTGTGGCAACTGTGTTAACCCTGTAACTGTCTAGTGCAATTTTCTGTGGCAACTGTGTAACACTGTAACTGTCTAGTGCAATTTTCTGTGGCAACTGTGTAACCCTGTAACTGTCAAGTGCAATTTTCTGTGGCAACTGTGTTAACCCTGTAACTGTCTAGTGCAATTTTCTGTGGCAACTGTGTTAACCCTGTAACTGTCAAGTGCAATTTTCTGTGGCGGCAGGCCATTTTTAGCATTTTCATATGCTTGTTTAAAAGGACAAAATCCCAGACTCAGTGAGTTCAGAGACCCTTACAGTGAGTTCAGAGACCCTTAAAGGTATTCATTTTCTGAAAGTACATTGGACAAGGTATTTTATGTATTTTTTATATTGACCATGACCTTTACAGTGTGAGTATAATTTGACTATTCCACTTCTGCTTTCCAGCCAACCTAAAACTGGGTTAATTGTTTCAACCAGGGGTGTCGAACTCAATCGCTCGGTGGGCCAAAACTCAAATCACATGTAAGGTTGCGGGTCAAACAGGATAAACATTCAATAAGCGTAAATTAATATTTTTTAAAAACATGTATATAAATGAAAACAGAAAACAAAAGTTTTAATAATAAAATATCATTGGCATACCCATTTTTGTTCTTATGCCAATTTGTCAGAGCTGGATGTTTGGCACATTTTCTTGGCTACAAAAACAAGTAAGTTCGTTTATGTTGGGAGTATCGTTATGTGTCATTAAGATTCTCGTGATGGACTGCAAGTGTTCATCTGTGAGATGACTCCTGTGTGATGTTTTGTTAATTTTCATCACAGAAAACAGCTTCTCACACATATGTGTGCTACCAAACATGCTCAAGGTTCGAGCCGCATGTAGACAAAGCTGGGGCAGCTCTTTAGGAGTGAACTGTGCAGGCCCAACTGTGTCGTACTTTGCCTTTAGTGTCCCATTACACTGCAGCTCTATTAGCTCCATCTGCAAATTTACAGGTGCAGTTTCCAGTCTATGACAAATTGGCTACGAAAGAGCCAGAAATTACATTTCTGTGCTTTAAATTCACTACAGCCCAGTGCGAACTCAGCACGAAGTAAGCTAAGTTTTTCATCAAAGTGTGCATTGGGAAACACCATAGCGTTAGTTTGGATATAATTGTACGCCGGTCAAGACCTCACTGGCCTAATATGATTGTTTGGCGGGCCGGATGTGGCCCGCAAACCTTGAGTTTTACACATGTGGTTTAAACTATCATAAAATCAAGTTTTTGAGATACACAAAGCAATATTCTTTCAGAAAATGTCAAGTTATAGGTACTAATATTCAAAATTGTATTTTTCTCAATCCGTGCTAATTTTAATCTATGTATAGGATTCTTTCATTTTTGTTTCTTCTTGGATTGTTACTAGAGTTAACTTTTCTTTAAAGACGATGGAATGTTTTAATTTATAATTTCATTGGGTGGTTAAATATTATAAATAAAATTTTCGGCACTTTGGAAACTAGGTGTGTAGTATTGTATTGATTTTCTGACAACTTTTGGATTTTCTTTTTGGTGAAACCTGAAATCAAGTGTGTAAAAGTGCATTCTATGAAACAGTTGAGTTTTAATTATTTTAAAATGATTATTTTGCATTGTTTTTCTTCATTCCTACACTTTGCTAACAACTGTGTGTAACTGTGGCACACATGTTTTAGCTGCAGGAAGGGAGCATGAACCAACTAAAATTACGCCAGGAGAGGGAACTTCTTGCCCCATATCTAGGGGGAAAACAATAAATTTGGTATGTTCAGCAAGAAATTAATGTACTGACCAAACATTACGCCAGGAAAGGGGGCGACCGCATGTCGTTGACACTTCTTGTCACTTCAACCATGACGGGTCATGGCAACCAAGATGGCAGCCATGGGAAATGGGTTAAAAGATTGGGTAAATTTACCGTAATTTTTATCAATTTGTTTCATTCACTATCTTAAAATTTCTATCAGAAAATTGGGGGGGGGGGGGGGGGGGGGGGGAATTTTTTTTTTTTGGGGGGAAACATTTTTTTTTAAATTCCTGTTCATTTAAAGTTATTAAATCCATTTTGTATTAATTAACACACCAGAACATACACAAATATAAATGTCTTTGAATCTTTTTAGGGTAGGCATTTTGGATCAAATCTTTGTCTCTTCTGCTCGATTTCCATCCTTTGCAAAAAAAATTTGTCTGCAACAATACGACTAAGCATAGAACTAATTTTGTCAATATCTGATGTCGCCACCACCGCTAGAGCTAATACCGTCATTACTAGCATCTGGAAAAGCTCTGAAATCATTGCTTTCATTTTAATCTACTTGAAATAATTCCAATAAAGAAAGTCTCTGTTGATTTTGCTATCTAAAGGGGGAGACACTCTCCACCATCAAACATAACGGCAGTAAAAAAAACCTGATCAAATGTCACATCTCAATCACAAAACAAGCCCCAATAAAAGCACAGATAGAAGCGGCAATAGGAAGCAAGCTCATTTATATGGAGTGATTTCCTTCATACATTAAATAATTCTCATTTTTATTGATGCTTTTGGTAGTGGCTATATTTGTATTGGCTGTGAAAGGGGTATAATGGCCGATGAGCTGCCACTATGATAGTTATAGGATTAATGGTTAATGCGGATAACTACATTATTGTTGTATTCCTGAAAGTCACGGCACTTAAGTGCGGCCGATTCATACCTGTGTGGCTAATTCTGGCTCTCTGCCTTTTTTAGTTCTCCTGTCTTCTACAGGAAATGAAACCACGGCAACGTTTGTAGCAGCCGTCACTGGCACGGGGGTGGAAGTGATGGGGTTCAACGGGTTGCTTAAGAGGGTGGCCGACCTTCTGACCCCTGGCTCCATACGAGGCTCTCCCAAGGGAATGGCCATCGGAATAAGTTGACCAGGGACAGGAGCTGTCAAGTGAAAACATCTCCAACATAAAGTAGGTCAGAACATAATTTAACACATAAAGTAGGTCACAACATAACTGAACACATAAAGAGGAGGTGTTCATAATTAATTTTCAATGCCAAGTTAGGAGCACAATATGGCAAGATAGATTTTGACCTTAATTTACAAGTAATATATTAGAATGGAGATAGATTGGTTTACCGCTGTATCGTAATATAACGGTTAGGTTACCATTGTCTCCTGCGTTTAAGGGTATGTAGCCTCTTGTTGGACTGAAATAAAACTGTCTGGGAGGTGGGGATGAGGCCTGACCTTGACCTAGCCTGCTCTTGGGTGATCTTGACCTTCCATCTCCACTCACTGAGAATAATTTCATATCGAAACATTTATATTAATATGAAGTGGTGTGTGCAATTACAACATATATATAATATTTAACTTACTAACTATATTCTTAACATCCAAGTATAATGTTAAATAATGAAAGCTAACAATGTTTAGTTGTCAAAATATAATAATAAAAGCTAACAATATTTAGTTGACATGATCTAACAATGAAAACTAACAATGTTTAGTAGACAGGCTCTCATTTTTAAAAGTTAACATTATTAGTTTTACCAAATGATTCATTGACTGGTGCTGGCCGAGCTGTCCGACCTGTCTTAGGATTCTTAAAATGGAGATAAGGATCACGGATGGTGGTGCGACCTCGTTGATATTCCTGCTTGCCGTAAGTCCTGACCAGGGTCTTTTCATCTTTGATGACAGTCAGCTGGCAGAAGGTATTCTTTGTTAATGAGTTTCTGAATGATCTTTTTCAAAATTATTTTTGTTTGTTAGTGGAAAAATCAAAGTTTTGTTAAGATTGTATCGGGAGCCTTATTATTTTTTCTGGTGGATTTCTATTGAAGTCCAACTTTCAAGGCTGTTACCTTTGGAGGCGGTTTCACTTTGCTGCTTGTATTTTCTTTGCCTCTGCTTGACACCACGGCTGAAGCTAAGGCCGTTGGCTTGTTGTAGGCCAATCTAGCGCTGCGCTCCGCTTGTGTTTTCACTAAGCCAGCCTTTGTGGTGCCATATTTCCCTGTGCCTCTCTTAGCTGCAATTTTTAGGCGGGCTTCTTCAGTTTGAGCTGCCACTTTGTCCGCTTCTTCTTGAGCAAGACCCCTGAGCACTTCCCTCTGTGGACGATAATAAAATGTACTTTCCCCACAAATAATTTATTTAACACAAGACTTAGGTCTTTGTAAACAAGGGTGCATATTCAGGTGAAGTCTTGTTGGGTCTTTGTAAACAATGGTGCATACTCAGGTGAAGTCTTGTTAGGTCTTTGTAAACAATAGTGCATATTCAGGTGAAGTCTTGTTAGGTCTTTGTAAACAATCATGCATATTCAAGTGAAGACTTGTTAGGTCTTTGTAAAAAATCTTGCATAGTCAGGTGATATCTTGTTTGGTCATTGTAAACAGTGTATATTCAGGTGAAGACTTGTTAGGTCTTTGTAAACAAGGGTGCATATTCAGGTGAAGACTTGTTAGGTCTTTGTAAACAAGGGTGCATATTCAGTTGAAGTCTTGTTAGGTCTTTGTAAACAACGGTGCATATTTAGTTGAAGTCTTGTTAGGTCTTTGTAAACAAGGGTGCATATTTAGTTAAAGTCTTGTTAGGTCTTTGTAAACAATTGTGCATATTCAGGTGAAGTCTTGAACAATAAATTGATGGACCCACAAATGGACCGAAATGGATGGCAAGAATTATTAATACACAGGTTGGTCTATATGTGGGTCCTGACCATTGTTCTGTTTGGGTCCCACTGTCCTCAACTCACCTGCACATCTGGCTGCAGGGCAGATATCTTCTTGTTGACTAGTTTCTCAATCCTCAACTGCTCAGCGACAGCTCTGAGGAACATGAGCAAAACAGACATTGACGTGTGGCAACACCTTACAGGCATTATTTAATAAAGCTTTGTATAAAAGGTTTATGTAAATGATTTATGGAAAGGACTCTCACATTTTAGACATTTACATGATATAGGAGTCTAGTTATACTAAAAAAATCTATTTGAAAAACGACTGGTATATGTAAGGCTGAGATGAAGCTTCACCCTGAGATTTCATTCACATTTCTAAGAAAACAATCTTTGTTACAACAGGTCATTTGGAGACTCAAATCATCAGCTGGACTGGAAGGTGACAAAGATGTTCTAAAAATTGTTCAATCAATTATTATCTTTTTTTTTTTTTTTAAACCAACCATTTTCCTTATTGGTGTCACCATAGTGGTCTTATTGGTGTCACCATAGTGGTCACGTTGGTGATAAGAGGGTAGGTCACTCAATCTTTACAACTGCTTTGTTTAATTCTAGAGTTACTGACCCTTCCACACCTTCGCCAAACATGGTCGTGAAAACGTTGATATCCCGACGAGATCTAATCACGTGGTCAATATTCTTCTCCAGGGTCTCACGTGTCGTCTCCAGGTTTTTCAGCACGTTCTTGGCCACCATCAAGTTGTCCAGCTTCAGCTGCTGACTCTTCTTTTCTCTGGAATGTTGGTGCAGCTTGGGGTAAGGGCTGCCTTCTTGGTGTGGGTAGGTCTGTCAATAACAAAACAGATATCGTTTTGTGAGGGCGTGTCTATGTCAATAAAATAGTTATTTCTTTTTGGGGTTGTGTCTACGTGAACGCTTGTGACATCTTTGTGCGGTATGTCTATGTCAATATTAGTTACCTGTACGTCAGGGTATGACTCCCTATATGTCTATGTGTAAAATGTTTCATAACACATAACATACACGTGTCGGGTACAATAAGTCTTTGATACAATTTTATACCGTTATGGCCCACTTCACATCACCCCCCGTTCATTTGGCGATTAAAAGAATACATAGTAATATGTGTCATCAATATGCATAATGATATGTGACAAAATGTATTATCAATAATTATATGTGGCAGAACTTATCATCAATAGTTCTCTCTGACATGATGTGTTGTTAGTAGTTAGACGGTGGTGGTGGTTTTCAGAGACAGGATGCTTAAATGTTGTATGTTGCAAACAACCCAACGCTGAATGGATTATTATAACAGAGCAGATATCCCTTCCTCTGTCTCACCTCCTTCCTTCTGTTGACCTCCCTCTCCCCCTCCAGCTCCTCCTTCATTATATCCAGTAGTCTCCTTCCCTAGTTAACTGACCTACAGACCAGCCAATGCCAGACCTCAGCCAATGTCAGACCTCAGCCAATATCAGACAAGCAATTGTCAGACCAGCCAATATCAGACCAGCCAATGTCAGACAAGCAATTGTCAGACCAGCCAATGTCAGACAAGCCATCGTCAAACCAGCTACAGCTAAGACAAATCTAACGGTGACTATCTACTCACCAAATAGCGCTCAATGGGGGCGGGGCCTGTAACCTCCATGGGCTGTCAATTCAGACAAAAAATACATACATAAATAAAGACACAAAGAGGTATTAAAGTGAGGTGTATATTAGGTATTAAAGTGAGGTATGTCTGAGGTATGAAATGAACAATTCAAGGAACACCCAATAACCAGAGGAACAAATCCTAAGTCTCAAGCAAAATTTTTTTGGTTTCGCTCTTCCGCATGCTGTTTTGACTCTGCGAGGCTCGTCCTTCACCAGTTATTACTGACGGGTCACAACTGGTTCTAAGCAGCTCTTTGGTCCCCGAAAACAAGTTAGCTTCGGGAGGGGACACGTATAAGAAAGGGAGGGGGTCAATATGACGCAAAGTTCATTAGGAGGGGGGGGGGCAGTATTGGCAGGGGCGTCAGTTATAATAGGGATTCAGTAATAATTGGGGACAGTGAGGGGGGGGGTCAGCAATGGTATGGGGGTGTAAGGGGTTTGGTTCAGCACTCAGAATATAAGGCAAAATGTCACTGACACTAGAAAGTAGGGTACGGCATGAATGACACTGGTTATTTTTAAAACGTTGAATAATTCTTTAAAATATTTTGTTAGGCATGGGCGCTAGTAAGGTACCATTTTATAGCCATAGTGCTGTACCAAATAATTGTACCAGTGCTGTACTATATTCGTATTATAGCAACGAAATGTGTACAGTGAAACAACAGCCCCCCCCCCCCCTTTCCCCAATAGCTTGTAGTTCAGACACTGATCGAAAGAAAGTTCGTATGCACAAGTTTGATGCACAGAACAGACCAACATTGCATTTACCGTATTTTGTGCAAGTCGACTGTCTCTTGGACCCTGTGGAGTTTTAAAAACAAAAATCATAGTGAATAGACAGTGCTTCACAGATTGAGGTAACTACTGTGGGCATGGCATCTTTCTTTCAATATTATATTCTGTTTAAGATTAATGAGAACCAAAACTAATTTGTGTAAACAAAACCATATAGGTCAAGCTTTAATTATGGTTAGACAATTTACACATTCAAACCTGTCTCATTAATCTACTTAGAAGCCTTATCGCAGCCCAACCCCCATGCATTCGGTTCGAAGGCGATAGATTCAGCTGTTACTGGGTGACGTCCCAAGGCAGATGTCACCACAGCCAGTTGACTAAACTGTGCATTGTTGTACCGAGTCCATAAACAGACATTCGTGTGTCGAGGAAAAACTCACAGCTACGACCCATTATATCTCTTACGACTTTCATTATACTTGAAATGTTACGACTTTAGTTTGATACCTCCTCCCACATAAAACACAAGGTCCAGTGTAACAATATAATATTTTATTGGATACTTGACAAAACAGGACACACATCAGTCCAACTACCGATTATCTATTCTCCTAGCACTACTCTCTCGACTAACTCTTGTCTCTCGCTCCTATCGCTACTGACTAACTCTTGACTGACAACTTTCGACGACTAACAATTCTTCTCTTATTCTTCTACCTTTCTTCTCTGACCTCTAGCTAACACACATCCCTTTTGTAATACCACACAAACAACCCAGCCTACGCAAACGTTCCACACCACGGACTAACTTCACGCTCTGACCCCACGATCAACAACTCACAAAACACTCTCACGATTCACGACTCCCCCTACCCAACATTCACAACAAACGAGTTCACTACACTATCGTTTCGCACATTTCATCTATTTTAAACTTTGGCTCGTAGCGTACACAATTCGTACCAATGGACTGAACACAGGTACACAAAGAGACAAGATGACCATAGTTAGTGATAGTAACGATAGTACACAAAGAGACAAGATGACCATAGCTAGTGATAGTAACGATAGTACACAAAGAGACAAGATGAAAACGTCTATCAACGTACAGCATAGCAAGTGAAAAGGTACAATCCTAGAAAAATACAAAGATCCATTTACACACACGCACATAAAGAGTGCAATATTGGAATTTATATAACCTCTTATAAGTGTCTATGAAACTTTGCAAAAATCTCTGCTGGCTAGGAAAGATGCCGGCCTACATATATATATAGATATAAAGGGATTAAATCAGAACCATCTAGTGAAGAAATTCTAGAAATTACTTCACCAGATAACATTCTTTAGAACAAATAGAACATATTCAATCATAAACAACCTTTTCCAAGTAAAGGGAAGGACGCTACACATTTAATCGGTGACGTCAAAAGAAAACAAAAGGGAGACAAGTGGTGGTGGCTAAAATAAGACCTACAGACATGGCAAAGCACTCACCCATATACTTTGAGCCGTTTCCTGTTCCAAGTTGGACAATGTATCGACCAGCTGTCTCGCTTTGTCCACTGGACTTTTGGCTGACCTTTTACCTCGAGCACTGTTGTTGCTGTCAACAGAAACATTACATCGGTCAGCGTAAATGAAAGCAACCGCCCAAGAACTACTAGTTGTATACGATGTCATTTGTTTATTATCCTAATGGTTCACACACGTCCCTGCTAACTTGGCTTTGATGGTATATAATGAATGGAGTTAATGACTTTCAGGGATGAAAAGGGGGGGGGGGTGGGGGGCGTAAATATGAATCTTGTTCCCTGGCGCCCAACACTCTCGCTACGCCTCTGCCATTGGCGTAGAAAGGGGGCAGATGGGTGGTCCACCCAGGTGTCATTTTTTCTTTATATGCAGGGGCGGCATATTCAGATAACTGCAGCGTTTGTATCGTGAAAAGGCGCTGGGCATACATCTTTGCCAAACAGGGCGGCACTAACACTAGCTGCGTCACCAAGCAGTGTATATATCGGCACTGGTCGTAGTAAGGAATCTTTCAAGCATCCGGTAGAACCAATATGGCGCCCATTATCATACTTAAACTGAATTCACTCCCCAGGGTAATCGTTTTTCACACGTTTGGAAGCAACCCCGTACTAACACATTGTAGGCGTGTGGGGGAAAAGGAGGGGGGGGGTACTAATTGAGCGGTTCCCAGACAACTGAACGCACGACAGGTGAACCTACGACAACTGAACCTAAGACAACTGAACCCATGACAAGTGAACCCACGGACAAGTGAACCCACGGACAAGTGAACCCACAGACAAGTGACCACACTGACAACTGAACCCATAGACAACTGAACGCACGACATGTGACCACAAAAATAATGAATTGAATAGAATTTGTGTTAAATTTTAAAATGCCCGAAACACTTAGAAAACGTGCCACATACAATTTTCTACTTTTTAAATACATATATATTTTTATAATTAGTTTCATTGGTTAATAAATTAAAGTTAAAAAATAATTCTGCTCTGCAAAGCATTGTGGCTTTAAAAAATAATGAAAAAACGACCAATAATAAAGTTGGCAAATTATTTTACCTTTGCAATTATAATAAGACTGCGAGTTATTTGTTCTTCTCAAGAAATGTAAACTTACGGACACTCTCAGAGCGACTCTGACAATGAAATGTATTTCTTATATAGGCCTAATTATAATATGATGAGCGTAATGCCTAATGCTATCATCGGCAATATCGCCGTAAACAAGTAGGCCCTAGCCCTAAGCTTAACTTTAAGTATTCTTTCCAGATTTGGACATTCGGTTCTCCGCTTTTACACACACACACACACAAAGTTAAGTGTTCTTTTGACACTTTTACCTGCCTCAAGACAAAATGACATACTTTCCAGAATCATACCAAATACCATACTATTCGGGATATTTTAAGATTGTTGACTTTTATTGAGTTTTTATTAATTTATAATTGACTTGATGCATATTAAATAGTAGGCCTAGCAGTGTAATCCTATCATACAGCTTTGCTCAACTATGCGAAATAAATTGAAATATAGTCTAAAAAAACGTGTTAAGTAGAGTTATCATGAAAATAAATTAATGTAAGCTCGGATTTTTTTTTATTTATTACCGGGTACTTTTTCCTATAATTGTTAAACTTCCATGAATTATCCCATTTTTAATTTATTGTATAGAAAAACTAGACACATACAGTATAGACACTATAGATAATGAAACCAAGAACACTAATTAAAGTCATTTTTCATCCTAAATAAAAACCAATAAAGCCTAGACTCCCCCCTTTTACTGTGTTATAAAGTTATAGTTTAGGTTGATTAAAGTAAAGAGTCTTGGAACATGCTACGATTTTTAGTTATGATCCTAACACCACTTTTATGTAATCTCTTGGTAGCAAAGGCCCACTAGGAATAGTGTGACATTATTTTAATAATAAGTTATAATAAAGTTTCTTTACATATAATATAATGGTTTTCTTTTATATTATTTAGGCATATCAACAAGTATAAATCATCTTGTGTTTTTAATGGTAATCTACATTGTAGTTGTAGTGTCAATTTTAAGTTTAAGTAAAAAAATATTAATTTCACATGTTCTTTTTTAGTATTTATATTATATTGTGATTAAGTATTAAGTTACATATTAACTATTCTTATGCTGAAGCTGAAGTCCAGTACAAGTTCTAATTTATATATTATTTATATTAAACATTCAAGTATTTTTGTTCTGAAGTCCAGTACAAGTTCTAATTTATATATTATTTATATTAAACATTCAAGTATTATACAAAAATGCATACTAGTGTTTAGATATATTTGTTCAGTTTGCATATTGTTAGTATAGTATAATAAAGGCATATAGTTAAGTAGATAGATCAGAGAGCAATTAACAGTGACAGTATTGTCAAAGATCTAATTCAGCAAGTAATTACTGAATCATTTTAATTTACTATTTAGCTAGTGTAAACTCAAGGATTACTAGACTAGTATGTTACATTATTTAAAAAACTTAATTCTGGCTTGAAGTAAAAATATTTTTTAAAAAATAAATTCAATTATATTTTTAGCACAACACTATTATGTCAATATCCAAGTCTATATTATAAGTTTAAGACATATTCTTATAAGTTGTAGTCAATTTATATTTGTATGGTGAAAATTTGGCAAATTAATATGTTGCACAAAATACCATTTTATTTTTTATGGAATGAAGAATTTTGTTTAATTAAATTTTGAAACTGTTATTTATTTTTTTTTCATTCTTCCTACTTTGTGAAACTTTTGTCCAAATGACTTGTCTAATTTAGTACTCTAATGAAGTCTAAAGGATAAAAAGTACTCAACAATTTTAAAAAAAATATATATTACAAAATATACAACAAATTAAAAATATGATTGAAAAAAAAAAGGAAGAATGCCTAGAATTATATAGAATATGTTTATTATCAAACATAATATCTGAATTCATGAAAAATAATTCTGAATAATGACTTTTAATTCATTGCAGATTTGCCATAGTAAAGTATCTTATCATGTTTATTTTCATATCCCTGAACTGCTAATGCCACCTGATCATCTAGAAGTGCATATTTCTTCTTTTTTTCTGGTTGATCCATTGCTTTTGCCAAAGTGAGCCTATGACAACATATATCCTTCTGAAGACCCTCAAATAAACTCCAGATACTTGGATTGCTGCAATGAAATAATCCATTTAAGCCATTATGAAATCCTTCACAACAATTAGTAGTTTTTGGTGACCTTTCCATAGCAGCATCATATTGATTCCAAATTTTAATTGGAAATTGTAACTCTCTACCTATTGCACCTTCAATGTAAGTTGAAAAAAAGTAGGTCAGTACTTCATTATATCTTCCATCATCTGGGAATGTTGCTGCAAGAGTATCAAACATAGCTCTCACATCATTTATAGGTACAAATGCTAATGCTGCCAGAGATTTTAGTTTTAATTTAAGTTCAATGTCTGTCTCAAAATCAGATTTTAGGCCAACACAACTAATTTTTCTAATCAAATTCTGGCATAAGTGAAAATAACAACCCTTAACCTCTGCACTTGGGAAAGCTGTATGAACTGCACTCATACAGGCTTTTTCAAAATCTACCAAAACTGTTTGAGGGGATAAGTTTGGCAAAAGTTGTTTCAAAATTTCACACATGTTGGTAAATGTTTGAAGGTTTTTTCTTTGCAAAAGAAAATATATGCATGGAGGGTAAGCATTACCAACTTTCGCATGCCACGTGTACAGTTGGTAAAACAATTTTGGCACTTTGTCAAATGGTTCCATCCCCATAAATTTCATTCTTGTCCAATTCAAGTAATAAATCTTTATTCCCAATTGCTAGAATTCTGTTTGGATCATTGCTTCCTGAGTCATACAGATTTAAATGAAGATATTTTTGTGGGATGTCAAAACAAGAAGTAGTTGGTATAGGAAAATGCACCTCTTCTCTGTGTAGAATTAAAGTTCTTGATATGGATGATTGCTTGGGAATATGCTGCAGGACATCGTTGCTAAAATTTATTAGCAGATTACCTATAATGTTTTTAGGTGTTGCACCAATAGCCTTAATATCTTCTTTCATTTTGCTTACAGCAATGTTAGCCTTGGCTTTTTGTGGACAAGAATCATGGGTGTGTGTTGTTGGCTCTGCAATAACATTATTTGTATGTGTTTTTATAAACACTGTGCAGTTACTAGTCGGGGCATGATACTGTCTGCATCTCCAAGTCATCACAGCACTGTCTTTGCTTTCTCTATGATTATATAATCAAGTACTTTGTATACTAATACTTAATTTCCTCTTTGAGTCTTTGAAAATTCCATAGCCATTAGGAAAAGCTTAAAAAGAAAAAAAATATAACAAAATAATATTTTAATGAAAGGAAAAAATAATCTTAATTCATGAAATATAGTCAAACTGATTTTAAGGATGTATGACTTGTCCAAAACATAAAGTGCTCAAAAGCATTTTTAATCAACCTGTAAGGACACAAATATCTACCCTAAGAGTAAAAAAAATCTGGAATGCTTTGAATTTCATCAGTAGAGGTTGTAGATACATTTTCTGAATAGAATTGATCTTAAAATCATTTCTATTATATAATGTTTGTCAACCTATAAACATTTATAACAAAATTGTAAGAATCAAGTACCAAGATATCATTCTTTTGGTTTTAGGCAGGTAAAATCTTGGCATTTAAGTTGTTGTTTTTATTAATAAATATGATCATAATTTATTTCTTAATATTTATCACAGGCTGTACTACCAAAGGGCTATAGGTTATACCAGTGGTTGGCAAACTCATTAGTCAAAAGAATAAATTATCAGCAGCAGGACCATTAAAAAAATTTTGAGAGCCAGATTTCGTTTCAAGAACCTGTTAAGAACCATGTTTTTCTTAGTCAAAACCGATTTTGTGGACGACTGGCCGAGCTGCCCTCAGGTCACTAAAGACCAGCATGCGGCTCTTGAGCCGCGATTTGCCGACCACTGGCTATTATAACTATCACCTATCAGTTTTAGCATATGCCTTTCTTAAAAATACAATTGAAAATCTAA